ACATCGATAACAAAAAAGCGCCTAAAATAACTTTAAATCTTTCAATTCTCTTTTCAACGCCCAGTTCAAGAGGGAAAGGATGTCCGTAAAGACCCATAAAGCAGAGAGGACTTTAGGGGGGGCTACACGCTGATTGACAGATCGTATATGTCACGCCCAGGTGGGGAACGCACGAATTAATCACAGAATCATCAACTATCAAAATACTTTTTGACACGAAATAAAAATGCCCTGTGTGTGCCCCAGGGGCAAAACACAGACCAGGACCGGGACAGGGACCTCACCGGCACGGGAAAGACATCCAAGGGACAAAAGACACACATGGCTTAAATACACAGGGAACAATCAGGGACAATCACACGTGGTGACGCGACAGGAAGGGAAGCTAAACCAGGTACAATGAGGCAGGACTACAAAATAAAAGAGGAAACAAACAGTATACTGCGTCCTGCTCAGTCCTAACACGGTCACTTCCTGTTCACTCCTTCACCAAAACCACCACACGGGGTGAAAACACACGTCTGTGTCAATAGACGTCCAGTGGAAGTGCACCAGAATTGTGTGTGTGTGTCTGTGTGTGTGTGTGTGTGTCTGTGTGTGTGTGTGTGTCTGTGTGTCTGTGTGTGTGTGTGTGTGTGTGTGTGTGTGTGTGTGTGTGTGTGTGTGTCTGTGTGTGTGTGTCTGTGTGTGTGTGTGTGTCTGTGTGTGTGTGTGTGTCTGTGTGTGTGTGTGTGTGTCTTAAGCTCCTTGGAGGTCAAAGCCAAAACCTCTGATGCCTGACGGACTCATTTCATCTCCTCAACGATTCGCTGCTTGTGTTAATGTTGTTGACTTAGTCTTTGTTTGTGTGTGTGTGTGTGTGTGTGTGTGTCTGTGTGTGTGTGTGTGTGTGTGTGTGTGTCTGTGTGTGTGTGTGTGATGGAACGAGGGAAAGTGAGTCAACCATCTCACTCTCATCTTCTGAATCAGAACCAGAAGCTCCGGTCCTCCTCCCTTCTGTTAGTTCTCCTCCTTCAGAACCGGGTCCAGATGGGGGGGGTCCTGAGATGAGTGAGAGGAGCGTCTGGCCTTCTCCCCGGGGCCTGACCTCCATCCGGCCTCCCAATATGGCCGCTTCCTGTTCAGAGGAGCAGAGAAAGCCACAAACTCACCTCCTTCCCTCCCTCCCTCGCCCCCGGCTCCAGCGGGCCTCCTCCCTCCCTCCCTCCTCCCGGCTCCAGCGGGCCTCCTCCCTCCCTCGGAGTGGATTAGTGGAGCTTCACGTCGCGTCCAGAGGGCGACCCGTGGTCGGGCGTACCGGAGCGGTCGCCCGGAGGTCGCGGCAGCAGATGGCGGGTTTGATTGCTGAGCGAAGGTTCCAATTTATCGGCCCTCGGCCTCGGTCGTGTTTCACTTAAAGGTGGATTTGGAGGCGGCCCTCGCTGCTCATTAAGAGGAGCGACGGGGCGAGGAGGCGGAGTCCCGAGGAGGTTGTCGTGGCGACTCAGGAGATGGTCGCTCTGCTTGATATGCAGGGAGGCCGAAAGAATCAGTGAGGAGACGATAACGTGTGGAGGGAATGCAGGTTTACCTGCTGTCCAATTAGCCCCCGCTGGGTGGAGGAGGTAATGAGATGTTCTCCTGTCACTTGGCAGCGGTCTAAAGCCTGAAGTCAGACTGCCTAATACGGTTAATACAGTCCATCATGAGGGACATCAGCACATTGTCACGTGTCCGTGGTCGTTCTCAGGCCCCGTGCCGTGATGACTCATCACCTCGAAAGGAGCCGCGGTCGCCGGTGACGGGCGGAGGACGGGCGGCGTCTTCGTGTCCACAGCTCCGGGCCAGTGTGAGAATGTGAAATCAATCATATCGCCTGTGATACGGATCCTCACCGACTCACACACACATTGATCGAACCATTGAACCAGCTCATGATTGATTATCTCTACAGAAACATGTCAACACTAATCTGACGACAAACCCGCGTCGATGACGTGGCTCACAAGCTCGATCCAACGTGTCACTTTACGTTTCTACCCTGAAGCTCAACTCCATCCTTCAGGAAGAAAACGAGCAGGTTCTGTTCGTCCAGTTGAAACGTTTCAATCTCATTCTGAAGCTGCGTCACATTCTGGTGGATCTTCCCGGCTGTGTGTGTGTGTGTGTGTGTGTGTGTGTGTGTGTGTGTATTCATCATAAGTACCTGGTTACTGCAGATGTTGGCATGATTCAGAAGAGCCGATCTGCAGTACAGGACAACCTGCTCAGGTTCTAGTGTACGATGGAAGAGAGTCCGCTTGATGACGGGAAATCCGTGTGTCTCTAATAGTTTGAATGCAGGAAACGGTGTCCTTCTCACTGGTACTCCTGATCTGTGGCTCTGTTGAATGACCCACAGGGAGGCTCTTTGTCCCCAGAGACGTTGTGTTTACAGGTTTCGTCTCTGTCTTCTGTGCAGGTGGAGCGGGAGATCGCCATTCTGAAGCTCATCGAGCACCCTCACGTCCTGAAGCTGCACGACGTCTACGAGAACAAGAAGTACCTGTGAGTCCCTCATCTTCATCATCATCCTCAGCACTTATCGTGGATTTGTACAGATTTACCATGTTTAGTCCAGGCGAGGTTTCCCAAGCAGAAGTTAGCTGGTATTGACCCTGTCTGAAGGACACGCGGTTTGGAGATGGACTGATGGACTAATGGTCCCCAATACATCCGAATAAAACAGTTTGGGGTTTGGTTGAAAAACAACTTCCACATAGAAGAAGAGGTCATCTTTGACCAAAAGACTTCTCTGACCGTCCCGACACGTGTCCTCCTCCTCCCCCTCTCAGGTACCTGGTGTTGGAGCACGTGTCCGGCGGCGAGCTCTTTGACTACCTGGTGAAAAAGGGCCGGCTGACGCCCAAAGAGGCCCGAAAGTTCTTCAGACAGATCATCTCGGCCCTGGACTTCTGCCACAGCCACTCCATATGGTGCGTTCCCCCCGCCGCCACCAGTTGGACGCTCGCTTCCTGTCGTCCTTCAGATGTAAAAAGAAGCTTTTGACCCGTTTCAACCTTTCTGCTTCCTGTCGTGCTTCAGCCACAGAGATCTGAAGCCGGAGAACTTGTTGCTGGACGAGAAGAACAACATCCGGATAGCGGACTTCGGCATGGCGTCTCTGCAGGTCGGGGACAGTCTGCTGGAGACCAGCTGCGGGTGAGTGCGAGTGGAAGTGCCCTGGAGGGGGCGCTCTGATCACCTCCATCAGCTGATCGGAGAAGATCTCATCTGACCATAACTCATTGTGTGATTTGAACCAGTGATGTAAATGAAACGCACCTCAAACTTTCAGTGACACGTGATCAACTCCATGGAAGGTTGTGGAGAAGAACATGAAGATCAGCGGCAAATAAACCAGCTAAACGAGTCATTTAGTTCAAATAAAGTCCAAACATTTACTTTTGTCAGATTCTAGAGAGTAAAGATTCATACAAAGTAGTAAGAAACCAGTTGGATCCGTTATCCAACGAGCTGTCTGACGTTGTGTAACACAATCTCACTGCACACGCACACACACACACGCACATGCACACACGCACACGCACACACGCACACACACACATGCACAAAGAAATAAAGGCCGTCGGGCAGAGAGAGTTGAGATGATGAGGACGTCCTCTCTCTTTCAGATCTCCTCACTACGCGTGCCCAGAGGTGATCAGGGTGAGTGCCGTCGCTCTGAAAGGATGTTACATCACCCCGTCCCCGTCCCCCCGTCCCCGTCCCCCCACACACACTTTAGAAGATCAGCTGTTTGATGTATACACTGTTTCTCCTGAGGACCAAACCAAAGATGCTTCTTTATTCCTCAATTCTTTTCTTACTTTCACTTTGAAAGGGTCTTATTTATAAGTGCAATAAAAGCCTCCCCCCCCCTCTCTTCCAGGGGGAGAAGTACGATGGGAGGAAGGCGGATGCGTGGAGTTGTGGAGTCATCCTGTTTGCACTTTTAGTGGTGAGTCGGCAAACAAGCGACCTGCTTCTTGTTCTTTAGTAGAGTGGTTACATGTTCATACGTGTTCATACGTGTTCATACGTGGTCATACACGTTCACACGTATTCACACACGTTCATACATGTACATACATGTTGATACATGTTCCTCCATCATGACTCGTCCTCATGTTAAATGATCGGCCGGTCGTCTTCGGTCTCTGTGTCCTGGGGACTTTTACATACACAGTTATAAATATTATAATTGTAACAATGTGGATTTATTGAACTTAACTGAAGTCAAGCTGTGGAAATAAGTTACCAGGAGTTACACAAGTGATCAAATGGAGGAAAGTAATTTAATAAGATATATGAAACAAACTAGATACTAATGAATCAGCATGTTGTCATGTGCAGAACAGAATGCATGCTGGGAAGTGCATTTAGTGAGCCGTGCGACTACGTGTGCGCACTACACACGCACACACACACACACACACACACACACACACACACACACACAACACACACACACACACACCTCGTCGTTGTTGCCTTGATTGAGACGGAGCAGCAGCATCAGGAGATTCATCTCCTCCACTCAGCCGACCATCTGCCTCCTTTAACCCAACGAGCCGTTGGCACGGCAACAGATTTCATTGTTTTACGAGTGAATGTAGATATTTACTGCAGATTCTTCACGATGAGCTTTAATGATCTTTAATGTTCCTCTGAATCAAAACTTTGCAGCCGGTTTGGTTGAGCAGCACGGGTTCATGGGAGTTGTAGTTTTTATCCTTCACAATGTCACAATAAACAATAAGTGAACTGAACGGATACATCATCATGGCTTCTCCACTCACCTCGTCTCCTGGTCTCCTTGTGTCCTGGTCTCCTTGTGTCCTGGTCTCCTGGTCTCCTCCAGGGCGCTCTGCCGTTCGACGACGACAACCTGAGGAACCTGCTGGAGAAGGTGAAGCTGGGAGTTTTCCACATGCCTCACTTCATTCCTCCGGAGTGTCAGAACCTGCTGAAGGGGATGATCGAGGTGGACGCCGGCAAGAGGTTCACGGTAAGCCCCTCCCCCTTGGGAAGCCAGCGGCACCGCCATTCGTCCCAGGAAGTTAGAACCTCCCACAAATAACAGGCTGTGTTTTCATAATGTGTTTGCACGTCTTATGAATGAGAAAGGTTTGGCCAATGAGCGGCTTCGAAAACACCAAAGCATGATGTGAACATCTGGATGGACGAACACTCCTCCTTTGTATTACGCCGTAACGATCATGTGACTTTATTTCTATTTAACGCTTCTCTCCTCTTCTTGTGTTGCAGTTAGAGCAGATCCAGAAGCACACGTGGTACCTGTAAGTACTGTGTGCGTGTGTGTGTGTGTGTGTGTGCGTGTGTGTGCATGCGTGTGTGTGTGTGTGGAGTGTAGAGAGTACGCGGCGTCTGTGATGGTCAGCGATCAGAACCGACTCGTCCTCAACGGGCTTCTGATGGAGAGTCGCACCAACAAGGGTTTATATTCTTAAACGGGATTACATGACGGTTTGACTGTTACACCGTAACAATATGAAAATCATAACTCTCTGAAATCAACATTTTTCTGTGTTAAATGTGATTCTGTGGCACTAAAACCTTAAACGCTGATCCAAACAAGGATCCAGTACTAACTTTGAACGCACAGCCGTAGCCGGTCTTTGTGGCACAGATTGTGTAGGTGAGGTCGACGTTGTCGTGGTGGAATCGTCCCCTGAGACCATGAACTCGTGTTTACTGAGGGAGTTAATGAAGAGAGTAGAGTCATTTCCTCATAGACGTCTATGGGAGCAGAGGAGTCGCCCCCTGCTGGTCACTACAGAGAAGTAGAGTCATTTCCTCATAGACGTCTATGGGAGCAGAGGAGTCGCCCCCTGCTGGTCACTACAGAGAAGTAGAGTCATTTCCTCATAGACGTCTATGGGGGCAGAGGAGTCGCCCCCTGCTGGTCACTACAGAGAATGCAGCTTTAACACGTGGATCTGTGACCTCACCTTAAAGAACCAGTTGTTGTCCTGGATGGTTTCCCAGAATACAGTTGACGATCTCAGTCAAAAGCCAGCTCTTTGTGACTGTAGTCCAGATGTGCTGTTTGAGCTGCCGTGACTTCAGATCCAGATGTGTGCGTCGGTGTTGCAGAGCTGGTAAGAACGAGCCGGAGCCGGAGCAGCCGGTGCCCAGGAAGGTGGCCATCAGGAGTCTGGCTGCAGCCGAGGAGATCGACCCCGACGTCCTGGAGAGCATGCACTCTCTGGGCTGCTTCCGGGACAAGGAGAAGCTGAGCAAGGACCTGCTGTCTGAGGAGTGAGCGCCCGCTTGATGAATCCTTTTGTTTAACGTGTCGGGTGAGCATCTCAACCAATGAGCTCGCCTCCTCCAGAGAAAACCAGGAGAAGATGATCTACTTCCTGCTGCTGGACCGCAAAGAGAAGTACCCGAGCCAAGAGGACCAGAACCCTGCCCGCCTCGCAGCGAGATCGGTGAGCGGAGCTCAACTTCTACTGCTAACGTGCTAAGCTAAGAGGCCTACATGTTAGCACTACCTGTGCTTTGTTAATGTGTTAGCATGGGGGCGTGGCCTTTAGCTCAAAGCCCCACTGTGGGTTAGACAGTAGACTGTGGAGAACCAGAGGACGGTTCCCCTGACTTGCCCTTTGACCTCAGCGGACCCGCCCAGGAAGCGCGTGGACTCGCCCATGCTGAGCCGCCACGCAAAGCGGCGCCCAGAGAGGAAGTCCAGGGAGGTGCTGTGCGTGACGGAGGGGGGGTCTCCGGTACGGGTGAGACGGCCCATCGACAGGGCGACCCACGCCCAGAGGTGAGAGACGGAGCCAGAGTGGGGGGGGGGGGGGGTAGAATAAAATGGAGGAGCATGAAGATCAAAGGATAGATGTTCCTGCATAATGTGGCTCATGGTGCCATCATCTACTACTACATCATCTACCATCTCCATCATCTACTGCTACATCATCTACCATCTCCATCATCTACTACTACATCATCAACCTCTACATCATCTACCATCTCCATCATCTACTACTGCATCATCAACCTCTCCATCATCTACCATCTCCATCATCTACTACTACATCATCTACTACTACATCATCTACCATCTCCATCATCTACCATCTCCAACATCTACTACTACATCATCTTACCATCTCCATCATCTACCAGCTCCAACATCTACTACTACATCATCTACCATCTCCAACATCTACTACTACATCATCAACCATTTCCAGTCATTCGTTGACCTCATGGTCCAGGTTCACTCCTGCGTTCTGAGCATGAAGCCGGCGCTCCTGTTGCTCCTCCTTCTGGTGTAGATATGTAGTAAATATTTGTTTTCTGATGCATGCTCAACATTTAGGATCCCCCTTTTGTGACGACCTTTTCTGTCTGTCTCTTGGTTTTTCTGTCTGACCCCCCCCCCTTTTTTATAGCAAATCTGTTTTCAGTAAAAGCTTGGATATCACAAACGCTAACTGCAGCAAGGAGGAAAGGTATTGGTCGCCTCCGATTCCTGTTTGTCTGTCGTGTCTGTTTCTACAAACAGATCACCTTCTGTCTCCGTCTCTCACTATTAAATGTGGAAGTTCAGTCTTTTTCTTGAGCAACGGCCGACACGAAGCGACTCAGGCATAGTGTCTGACATCGCCCCACGGATAATAAATAATAATATAACATACTTACCGACGATCGTGTTTGGTCGGCCGAGACTCGGTTTCAACTTGAAGACAAATTAAAGCGTAAGCAGAGAAAGAAGGGGTCTGTATTTCAGGCCTCATCTCCTTCCTCTCCTTCACCTCCTTTTCTCGCTTTCCTCTCCTTCCTTTCCCTTCCTTTCCTTCCTCTCCAATCCTTCCCTAGACCCTACAAGAGCGAAACTTTTTTATTCCCCCCCATCCCCATTTTCAGTGTGTGTGCGTGTGTTTGTGTGTGTGTTGTGTCGGTGAAGCTGTGTGTCGGTGACCTCGTGCCGGTTAGACGGGTGGAGAAGGATAGAAAAGGGTGTAGTTTAGCACCACCGTTTGGCAATTCACATTAATTGGACGACCAACCGGAGAAATAAAGGTTTTCGCGGGATTCTCCTGTTGTCTGTCTCGCTCATCGACTAACGGGGAGTTATATAGGGGGGGGGGGGGGGGTGAGGGGGGGTCTGTGAGAAGAAGGTTACTGCTTCTCTAACTAACGATGAGCCCAGAGGAGTTAATGAGCCGCTGAGCTCCTCTTCATCTTCAGCAGACACGGCTTGCTATGCCACGATTAGCACAATGCTAACGAAACGGGACTAGGCCACGATCAGCTTCTTCTAGGAGCGGTGACGGTAATTTAAGAGTCCGATCCTTCCAAGGCTTCCCACGGTGGAAATGAAGGTGTGAAGGTCTGAGTCTCCATTCAGTAGATTAAAAGCTAGTCGTGTGAAATAGAATCTGTTGAGCTCCGTTAAAAACACACGAAAGAGCCTCATCGCTGCCTTCTAAAACTGACAAAGTGAAGCAAAACTGAACCACACAGAACCACAAATCATTTGTTATTTTAAATGATGGTGACAACAAAGACATATAATGCGTAGAATCAAGTATTTAAAGGTGCAGCAGCTCCTCAGAATGGTTGTTCATTAGCGGCTCATTAGCATGCTAACTCCTGGATGAAACTCTTCCTTTCACATTCTGTGTACAGCCTTCTTTCACTTGTGTAATGATTTAAACTCAGGCTTTCAACTGGGATTTGTTTACCCAGGACAATAATGACTTAACGTAGGAACAGACGAAGGAGCGAAGACACCAATTGTATCACAATCTTTTTAACGTTTCTATCGTCTCCACATTTAGAAACTAAAGACAAACTACAAAGATTCCAATCAAAGCGACTGGACCACTGAGGAGCTCATGAAAACAGTCCAGAGACATGCTTCATTAGCCTGGAACACGCAACGCTTCAACCACACACGCTTCAACCACACACGCAACGCTTCAACCACACACGCAAAGCTTCAACAACATACGTAACACTTCAACAACACGCTTCAACCACACACGCAAAACTTCAACCACACACGCAACGCTTCAACCACACACGCAACGCTTCAACCGCACACGCAAAGCTTCAACCACACACGCAAAGCTTCAACCACACACGCAACGCTTCAACCGCACACGCAAAGCTTCAACCGCACACGCAAAGCTTCAACCACACACGCAAAGCTTCAACCACACACGCAACGCTTCAACCGCACACGCAAAGCTTCAACCACACACGCAAAGCTTCAACAACACACGCAAAGCTTCAACAACACACGTTTCAACCACACACGCAACGCTTCAACAACTCACGCAAAGCTTCAACAACACACGCAAGGCTTCAACCGCACACGCAAAGCTTCAACCACACACGCAACGCTTCAACCGCACACGCAACGCTTCAACAACACACAATTCAACCACACATGCAAAGCTTCAACCACACACGCAACGCTTCAACCACACACGCAAAGCTTCAACAACACACGCAACGCTTCAACCGCACACGCAACGCTTCAACCACACACGCAACGCTTCAACCGCACACGCAAAGCTTCAACCACACACGCAAAGCTTCAACAACACACGCAAAGCTTCAACCGCACACGCAACGCTTCAACAACACACGCAAAGCTTCAACAACACACGCAAAGCTTCAACAACACACGCAAAGCTTCAACAACACACGCAACGCTTCAACCGCACACGCAAAGCTTCAACAACACACGCAACACTTCAACCGCACACGCAAAGCTTCAACAACACACGCAACACTTCAACCACACACGCAAAGCTTCAACAACACACGCAACGCTTCAACAACACACGCAACGCTTCAACCACACACGGTGGAAATGAATAAATAAATAACAAAGCAGAAATAATAATCAAAAGGAACAAAATGGCCGCCATCACCAGTGAAATAAAAGACTACGCAGCTTTGAGAGCTAATTTAACGCCAGTGAATCCTCTTTCCCTTTGTGTGTGTGTGTGTGTGTGTGTGTGTGTGTGTGTGTGTGTGAGAGAGAGAGAGAGACAGTGTGTGAAGCTTATTTAAATATGATTTACTGTTTTCATTTTTCACTTCCAACAAAGCCAAATTGTTTATGGGCAATTAAATCCCAAAGTCTGTGACATCAGCAGCCCTGGTATGGGTACTGCTTAGTGTGTGTGTGTGTGTGTGTGTGTGTGTGTGTGTGTGTGTGTGTGTGTGGTGTGTGTGTAAAGGGCAATCCAGACAGAGATGTGAGAGAGGAGGACGAAAAGTTAATGATACGTAAATGAAAAATGGAAAAACAGGAGAAGAGAAACGAAATGATGCTAATGAATTTTGTGTGTGTGTGTGTGTGTGTGTGTGTGTTTGTGTAATGCTGACGCGTCTGACCTACGACATCAAACGCCAGCATGTTGTTTGTGTTTGAGTGTTAGCTAATGCTAACAGCATCCACATCCGATGCTGTTAGATCAATCAGCTCAGGCTCCAATAACAATGACGATAATGAAACATCTAAGACCTGATGGGACGTCCCACTGAGGGACCAAGTCACAGTCCTCCAATCACAGCGGCTCCTGTGTGTACACCGTGTGTGTGGTTTGGCTTCATTATGCAGTGTGTGTGTGTGTGTGTGTGTGTGAGTACTGACTCCCTCCTTGTGTGTGTGTGTGTGTGTGTGCAGATCGCGATCGATCAGTGGAGCGTCCTCCGGTCTGTCCACCAGTCCTCTCAGCAGTCCCAGGGTAAGTGTCCGGTCCGTCCCCCCACACGCTTGTGTGATTTTGGTGATTTTTACCCAAAATGCACCTCACTGGTTTGCTGGTCACGCTCACCTCTGGACATGGAGCTGGAATGAGAACGCTAACACGCTATGCTACGTAGCGACTAGCGCTGGGGTCCCGTTCCCACCAAACACCCCTCAAGACCCCCGTTAGTGCCGCACCCTGCTGTGCTAATTCACACGAGTCGCCATTTCATCAACAACCGCTCAATCTTTTTATTGTTCTTTTTCATTATGATGAATGAACAAATAGTCTTTATTGAGCACCAACACAAAATCCTAATATCTTATATATCTTCTTATGACTATTTGTTTACATACAATAATAACGAAATGTGGGTTATTATTTTAATTAGGTGGCTTTTTTTAGAAAATCCTCCAGATGAGAGAAACAATTCTCATCCTCACAGAATAAAGAGCAACAAGGTCAAAGTGGACGGTTTTCACCCAGGAGACCTGGTGGAACTTAACAATCACTACAATTTAATGTTTTAAAGAAGTGTGTGAAGTTGAGGCTGAGGTTCTTTAAAGGACATTTCTATTCAGACTTCTTGCTATTGTGTCGAGGGATCTTCACAACAAGTTCATTCGCTGAGGTTCCTCTCCGGAGGAAGCCACGCGAGGTCAAACACGAACCGGCAGCTTCAGATGGAGTCGGCGTTTTGCAGTGCTCACTCAAACTGATATGGATCACTGTAGGTGTCTAAGAGCAGAACGTTGACTCCATTCTACTGTAGTAAATCTGTGGAGACGAATGATAAATGGACTGTACTTGTATATCCCTGTTCTAGTCTTTTCTAACGCTACATGACACCATTCACCCCTTCACACGCTGATGACAGGAGAACCACACACAGTGACACCTGTCCATCAGTCACTAACATCCACACTGCAGTCGCAGCTACAGGAGCCACGTTGGGTTAAGTGTCTTGCCCAAGGACACATGGACATGCGGGATCGAACCGACAACCCTCTGACTGGAGGACGACCTGCTCCCCACTCACTCACAGTCTATGAGGACCTCATAGAACCTCATAGAACCTCACACTGACTCTTTGTCTAGAAGGTTGCAGCTGTTTGTACAAGTGTTTACTGCATGAGGCCCTTTGTGATTAAGAGAAGACGGTTTAGGACTCACACTCACACTCACACACACACACACACACACACACACACACACACACACTCTGGGTTGAGACGGGGTCTGTGGCTCCGGGTGGAGCTGGACTCTGCTGGTCCCACGTGGTTCCGATCCGTCTCTATCGGCGCTCATTCATTCCATCGAGCATTAGCGCCGCGCATGGAACGGGGCTAAGTCCGTTAGCTTGTTGAGCTGCGTGACTCGCGGGTGATTTGGGGATGCACCGACGTAACCGCCGGTAACCGTGGAGACGGCCTGTGAGCCGGTGTAGGAAAAATGTAAAAAAGAAATAAAATACACGCAACATATATTCACAAATACATTCATTTACATACATTTTCTTTCATTTTTTATATTTATCTTCACCATTAGTAATAACTAGTTGTTAAAAAAGGTTTTTATTTATGTTATTTAAAATAAAACAATAATTTGCTTCAAAATTCAATAATTTTGTAATAAAATATAAAAATAAAAATAAACAGTAACCTTTGCGTATCAGACAACAAGACGACACGTGGGAGCAAACAGAACTCATAGACTCGAGACCAATGAGACAGGAAGCGGTTCAGACTCGGTGCATCCCGCCTCTTAATGCTCCGCGCTGCCTCCTGATTGGCTGACCACTTTGCTAATCGCATGTTCTGTTTTTTCTTTCTTTCTTGCACTCTCACCACTTCCTGCCTGCTCCACCTCTCCACGCATCCGCCACGCCGCTTTCACAACCAAACAATCCTGCTGTGCTTTTGTTTAAGTTCATGGGAACACGTGGCGTTCCTCTGGCTTTCTCATTGGCTGCCGCCACGTGTCACGGTGCATGGCCAATCGCAGCCCACCCGGCGGTTCTTCATCCCCCCCCAGTCCCCCAACCTGTGTCAGTCCCCCAACTGCAGCCCCACCCACTCCCCCGAGGCCCGCCTCAACGGGGTGGGGCCGCGCACGCCCAACTCCCACCAGCCAAAGATGGGGTCCCCCCTCATGCACCCCCGCACGCAGACCCTCCCCGCCAAGCCCAAGGTGTCTGAGAAGCCCCTGCAGACTGCCCGGTCCAACCCGCTCCCCAACACCGCCCAGAGCCCCACCAACCCCAAATCTGAGCCCTCCACGCCGTGCCAGCCGCCCGGCGTCCCCAACAGCCCCCGGGTGAGACGCCACCCCCCCCTCACCGTCCCCCCAAAGCTCTCCATCGCGCTCTCCCCCGTGCCCCCTATGTCGCCCCGCCGCCGGCACCACCACCCCCACCCTGACCACAACGGCAAATGTGTCCCCATCACGCAGGTGACCCCCCATCCCTCCCCCAGAGGAAGCCCCCTCCCCACCCCCAAAGGCACCCCGGTGCACACGCCCAAGCACAGCCCCGCCGGCACGCCCAGCCCGACGCCGCCCCCCAGCCCGTCCATCGGCGGGATGCCCTGGAGGACGCGCCTCAACTCCATCAAGAACAGCTTCCTGGGCTCGCCGCGCTTCCACCGCAGGAAGATGCAAGGTGAGATATTTTCAGATTAAAAGACTCCCGTTATCTCTCAGCGTGTCAGCGATGAGACCAGATTACTCACCGGGTGAACGTCCACAATCACTCCTGCTTTCATTCTTTTATTACATTCATTTTTTAACCTTCATCGTCATGTGAAATAATTATTGTTGCAACATTCCGTCTCCCAACGAGTTCACGATATTCAGGAAATATTTCATTGTTAAAATAATGGAGGGAAAGAAAGATAGAGGACAACCCATGTGACCTTTGACCTCTTACCTCCACAGTTCCCACCCAGGAGGACATGTCCAGCCTCACCCCGGACTCTTCTCCAGAGTGAGTCACGTCTTCTCCTCAGAACCAGTGTCCTCCCTTTCCTCTCCTCCCTTTTCTCACCTCCCTATCCTCAGCTCCTTCTCCTCTCCTCCCCCCACTCACCTCCTTCTCCTCTCCTCCCCCCACTCACCTCCTTCTCCTCTCCTCCCTCCACTCACCTCCCTCTGCTTTCCTCCCTTTCCTCACCTCCTTCTCCTCTCCTCCTTTTCCTCACCTCCTTCTCCTCTCCTCCCTCCACTCACCTCCTTCTGCTCTCCTCCCTCCACTCACCTCCTTCTGCTCTCCTCCCTCCACTCACCTCCTTCTGCTCTCCTCCCTGCAGACTGGCCAAGAAGTCGTGGTTTGGTAACTTCATCAACCTGGAGAAGGAGGAGCAGATCTTCATCGTGATCAGAGACAAACCTCTGAGCTCCATCAAGGCGGACATCGTCCACGCCTTCCTCTCCGTACGCGCTTCTTTATCAACAGATGAGGAGAATGTTTGTGTGCATTATGGGAATATAAGGTGTCTGTCTGCTGTTAATCAGATCCCCAGTCTGAGCCACAGCGTCGTCTCTCAGACGAGCTTCCGGGCCGAGTACAAGTCCACGGCCGGCCCCACGGTGTTCCAGAAGCCCGTCAAGTTCCAGGTGGACATCACCTACACGGAGAGCACCAGCGCCACCAAGGACAACGGCATCTACTCCGTCACCTTCACCTTGCTGTCGGGTGAGTTGCTAGGCAACGGGGCAGAAGTCTTCTTCAGTACTTCAGAACCATCGAGCATGTTTCTCTCTGCAGGTCCGAGCCGGCGGTTCAAGCGCGTGGTGGAGACCATCCAGGCCCAGCTGCTGAGCTCCGACCAGCCCGGCATGCAGCCGCAGATATCTGGTTAGTGGAGCCCCCACCTGCCTAAACCCCCCCTCCTCACCCCCTCACCTCCTCCCGGCATCCTGGCACCTCACAGCTCAGCCACCGCGGCCTCGGACACCCGGCGCTCGGCTCGGCTCACCGCTTTAGCACACGGCATCTCCACGTGCATGCCCCTGCCACATGCCACATGCCACATGCCACATGGCATGGCGTGCACACACACACACACACACACACGGGTCAGCGGGCTCGAGTTGTGCGTTCTGGTTACAGAGAGCTGCTCGTCCTCCAGCGTCTGACTCAGCAGAAAAACCTCCGCCAGGAAAACGGATGTTTAAAAGTAAATCAGAGACTTAAAGCGGGACAACCCGGGACAACCCGGGACAACCCGGGACAACCCGAGCACGTGTCGCGCTGCCTCTCGATAGACGGAAGACAAGAGAGAGAGTGACTATGTGTCCCAGCTGTCCGTCTTCTGTCCCTGTGGTTATTCACTTGATAACGGCTCCCTCTGGTGGTGGTGAAGAGCAACTACGACACGCACACAAGCTGGTGACCTACGTGTTACTGGGAGGGAACCAGTGCCCTGCTCGGCTCCCACTGAGGGACACCACAGTCTGCCGTCTCTGAACCGACAGTTTGGATTCTTTCATTTGTTTTTGATTCACAGACTTTAAATCCAACGGCTTCAATAACAGAAGAATAATTACAACAATGAGGTTTTGTAGTGATTCTGTTCGTCATAAGCAGACGGTTTCTAATGTGACGAATAAGAATCACCTCTCAGTATAGATGTAAAACTAAGGCCTCCGTTGACTGAGCTAACCGCGCTAGCTGAGCTAGCCAGGCTAAAGCTGTGCTAGCCAGGCTAAAGCTGCTAGCGCACTGCAGCTCGTCTCCAGAGATCCAAACTACCGGTCAGAAGCAGCGGCCCCGACGGGACCGTTATCAGGCGCCGTTCGCCCCCCTCAGCCCCCCCCCCCCCCTCCAAATGTGCAAAAAACCCACATCTGGCTCTCTCTCTCCCTCCCCACGGCCTTGTTCTCCACCCCGCTCCCCCCTCCACCCGCTTTCCGGCATCCAAAGCTTCACTTCGTCAATGACCAGCATGGTGAATGAAAAAAAAAAACACAGAACAAAACCCATTTCTCTCTAACCGGCACTTTATGTAGTGTGCCTGCGCGTGGCTGATTATGTTCGTGTCCATCTGTGTCTGCATGCTGATGGTTGCCACACGGCTCCTGGACACGTATCTAAAACCACAGAAACACTAAATATCCGAGAAGCAGAAAGTCAGCGTGCTGACGAGAGGAGCGACGGTAAGTGGGATGAAGGACAAACCGTGTGGCGTGTCGTGACGGTGTTGCTGGAGAAGCGAGCAGGTGTTGGATGTTGTCCTGATGGTTGTTGTCATGACGGAGAGCTAACGGGAGCTTTGGGGTCACGAGGTGGAGAAACCCATGGAGAGGACCACGATCCACCAGATGGACATCATGATGTGTTGAAGACTCACGTTTACAATGTTTACTGAGGGAAGTAGAGTCATTTCCTCATAGACGTCTATGGGAGCAGAGGAGTCGCCCCCTGCTGGTCACTACAGAGAAGTAGAGTCATTTCCTCATAGACGTCTATGGGAGCAGAGGAGTCGCCCCCTGCTGGTCACTACAGAGAAGTAGAGTCATTTCCTCATAGACGTCTATGGGAGCAGAGGAGTCGCCCCCTGCTGGTCACTACAGAGAAGTAGAGTAATTTCCTCATAGACGTCCATGGGAGCAGAGGAGTCGCCCCCTGCTGGTCACTACAGAGGAGTAGAGTCATTTCCTCATAGACGTCTATGGGAGCAGAGGAGTCGCCCCCTGCTGGTCACTACAGAGAAGTAGAGTCATTTCCTCATAGACGTCTATGGGAGCAGAGGAGTCGCCCCCTGCTGGTCACTACAGAGAAGTAGAGTCATTTCCTCATAGACGTCTATGGGAGCAGAGGAGTCGCCCCCTGCTGGTCACTACAGAGAAGTAGAGTCATTTCCTCATAGACGTCTATGGGAGCAGAGGAGTCGCCCCCTGCTGGTCACTACAGAGAAGTAGAGTCATTTCCTCATAGACGTCTATGGGAGCAGAGGAGTCGCCCCCTGCTGGTCACTACAGAGAAGTAGAGTCATTTCCTCATAGACGTCTATGGGAGCAGAGGAGTCGCCCCCTGCTGGTCACTACAGAGAAGTAGAGTCATTTCCCTCATAGACGTCTATGGGAGCAGGAGGAGTCCGGCCCCTGCTGGTCACTACAGAGAAGTAGAGTCATTTCCTCATAGACGTCTATGGAGGCAGAGGAGTCGCCCCCGTGGCGGTCACTACAGAGAAGTAGAGTCATTTCCTCATAGACGTCTAGGGAGCAGAGGAGTCGCCCCCTGCTGGTCACTACAGAGAAGTAGAGTCATTTCCTCATAGACGTCTATGGGAGCAGAGGAGTCCCCCTGCTGGTCACTACAGAGAAGTAGAGTCATTTCCTCATAGACGTCTATGGGAGCAGAGGAGTCGCCCCTGCTGGTCACTACAGAGAAGTAGAGTCATTTCCCATAGACGTCTATGGAGCAGAGGGAGTCGCCCCCTGCTGGTCACTACAGAGAAGTAGAGTCATTTCCTCCATAGACGTCTATGGGAGCAGAGGAGTCGCCCCCCTGCTGGTCACTACAGAGAAGTAGAGTCATTTCCTCATAGACGTCTATGGGAGCAGAGGAGTCGCCCCCTGCTGGTCACTAAGAGAAGTAGAGTCATTTTCTCATAGACGTCTATGGGAGCAGAGGAGTCGCCACCCTGCTGAGTCACTACAGAGAAGTAGAGTCATTTCCTCTAGACGTCTATTGGAGCAGAGGAGTCGCCCCCTGCTGTCACTACAGAGAAGTAGAGTCATTTCCTCCTAGACGTCTAGGGAGCAGAGGAGTCGCCCCCTTCTGGTCACTACAGAGAAGTAGAGTCATTTCCTCATATACGTCTATGGGAGCAGAGGAGGAGTCGCCCCCTGCTGGTCACTACAGAGAAGTAGAGTCATTTCTCCTAGACGTCTATGTGAGCAGAGGAGGTCGCCCCCTCTGGTCACTACACGATGCAGCTTTAACTCGTCGACCAACAGACACAAATGTGACAGTAAACAGTGAAATCTGGTTTAATGAGAACTAAACTAGTTTAGTGTGGAGAGAGCGAATGTGCTCCTTCTCGTCTCCTAAAAGCCTCTAGTTTCTCCTGCGTGAACCCTGAACGTTCTCCCGTTAGCTCGCACGGAGGAACCGAGACTCCGAGGCCGCCGATGACGTCACACTCAAACCTTCAGTCGGTCATAAGACACGAAGACCGTAAACGTCTCCTTTCCTCTGGCTGCACCCCTCCTCCCATCCTGCATCCCCTCCTCCTGCTCTCCTTCACGTGGACCATTGCTCATGTGTTGTTTGTTCTCTCTCTCTTTTCTTCCCGTTGTGTAGGCAGCCCCTTGAGTAACTTCTTTGACGTAATTAAACAGCTCTTTTCAGACGAGAAGAACGTCCAAGCGTCCCACCCCCCCCGGCGCCCCCTCCACGCCTAGCCCCCCTGCCGCCAAGCATGCCCCCGGCAGCCCCCCTGCCCAATGTGACTCTAAGTGCCCCCCCGGCAGAGACAAAACAAAGATGGCCGCCAGCGCCCGGACGGCGGAGCAGCCTTGAGGGGCGCACGAGTAGAGAGACTGGATCCGTGTTTTAGCATAAGTAGCTAATGTAGCCTCCCCCCTCCCCCTCCCCCTGTCCCTCTCGCCTGTGTCCTCGGGGGGGGGGGGGGTTGTCTCTCTGTTGGGTTGGGTGTGTGTCCTCGTGTGTGATGGCTTGACTTGTCTCTGCCACCAGGATTCATCCATAATAGCTATTAACCTCGGCGCGGCGGCTCCAGACCGGGCCGAAGAAAAGACCCCCCCCCCCCCCCCCCCCCCCGATCAGCACCGCGCCCCAACGCAGAGACGTCTCGCAGGAGTTGTAAAAAAGAAATGAACAAAAGCCTTAAGACAGTGATGTTTGTCCACACGCGCCTCCTCCCTCCCCCCACGTCCTCAAAGAAAGACACACTGTAGGACCTCCTGCCCATGACAGGACCTCCTCCTCCTCCTCCTCCTCCTTCTTCTGCTTCTTCTGGAGGAGACGGACGCACGCTGGCCGGATTGTATTTCTCTTTTTTTATGGATTTCTGAGACGTTTCTTTAAAAAAGGGGCGGGAGGTTTTGGCCGTTTGGCGGGAAGCTGATGAATAAATGAACGATCTGCTGTTCAGATCGAATGATGTTCTGTGTAAAGAGTCGTAGTCGTGACATTATGTTTTCTAGAACCGTTTCTTCTGCTCATGTTTGTTTCTTCCCGCGGCGGCTTCGGTCACGCCGGCGTTTAAGAGAGCGGCAAAATGATCCCGGTGACATCGGCTCGCTAGCATAGCGTAGCTTGTTAGCTTGGCTCCATTAACATCTGTGTCTTTTGCTCCGAAGCTTCTTTTTTCTTTCTATCATGTGTCTATTTATATCTTTATATATCTATAAAAAGAGCATATACACATATTTAAATATACATATATAAATATGTGTGTATATGCCCATGTATCCATATATAGATACATAGACGCGTGTTAGCAGTTAGCATGTTAGCTCATTTTGCCGCTCCACTTCCTGGTGTGACCGAGCTCAGCGGGGAAATTTCCTTCTGCACTTTTGACCCGTGTGTCAGATTCTGGGTTCAGTTGCGTAACTTCTTTTAATTTATTTTTAGTTCTACAATATTGAACTGTTGTGTATATTTTTGTACTTTACTGTATTTTTGCCATTTCCTTTGATGTTAATTTATGCTCAGTTATTTATACAAACGATGTAGAGAATGTTTCAAATTATTTAAGGGTATTTTTGTCACGTTAAGTTATCTGAACACCGAAGAAACATCGGCCACCCCGAGCGAGAGAAACCTGTAATATACGTTTTGTAAAATGATTTACCGTAATATAAGAATGTAGACGTAGACCCCCGCCCCCCCATCCTGTGTACGAAGACGCTCATTCTTTAAATAACCAGTTTATTTAAAAATCAAGGGGAGTCGTCTTTGCTTTGACCTTTGACCCCGTACGCTTCTTTGCATGTTCAGCCTTTGTCTTTTCTTTGCATGTCGTCGCTGGAATCGTTCCCCTTTTTCTCTTTGTGCTTTTCTTTCAATTTGCCTTTTTGGTTTCTTCATCACATTTGAGTTCCTTCCTGTCACCGGGCAACGCGTCCTCTCAGAGGGGGGTCTCCGGCGGGGGGGTCTCCGGCGGGGGGCGTAGGAGAGACAAATTAAAGCAATACCGTCCATTGTTCATTGTTTGCTTTCCCTCTTTTTTCTGTCGGGGGGAATCACACAGAACGGGTTCCGTGCAGGTCTCCCCCCCCTCCCCCCTCGTGATGTTACTGTGAACAACTTCAGTGCTAAAGGAAATAAATCTGTTTGACTTTGGAGCCGCGTCCTGTTTTTAAACCGCCTGTGTGAAGCCACGCCCACTTCCTGTTTGCACTAAACGTGTATGTCGACTGTTAGATACGCGCAGCATTAATAATCCATTCACCTCTAACAGTCTTATTACAACGTTGGTGCAGTTTTGCTAACAGGACGGGGGCGTGGCTATGTGGTTAGGCCACACCCACTTCCTGTTTGCACAGACTGTGAGATCAGCAGCACCTCGCAGCCGTCAATCAACCGTCACCATCAACCAAGAGCCCAAAGTAAGTTCATCTCCACCGCCTCCGTCTGCAGATTATTACTGTTATTACTCATATTTATTCTCATTATTAGAATCTTCATCACACTCAATCAAGATCAGGAATATAATAATACACCAACTTCAATGAGAATTGGAAATAAGCTGCTCGAGATCACAACTCAATTGAATTCCGTGAGACTTGTTTCCACGGACCAATGAGACGTCTTCAAACTCCAAACAAAGGTTTTGATGTGCGACAAACGTCTAAAAATAAACCTTTTAGTTTCCGCGTCACAGCAGGACGTCCTCGGCTCCGACACGCGCTTATTGCCATGGAAACGCAGCGATGTCACATGATCACGCCGGCGACTGGAGGGGTTCTAAATGTTCTGTATTCCTCCTCCTTGTGAGTGGAGATCCTCACAAGGAGAACTTCTCCTACTGAATTAAACTGAGTCGCTTCGTGCACGTAAAGATCTCCGTCAGGAGACTAACTGGGTCCAAATCCCTCGTAAAAGCACCACCGATTTGCAGAACATGCAGGTAGAGAAGGAAGTGTGATTTCTTTATTTCATCTCCACGATGGAGGCGGCGCACTGGTTTGAGTCCCAGTTTAATGAGACCACGTGAGTCTCATCAGGACCTGATGAGGCCAGTTAGACATTTTAAACCAGAAGAAATCAGAACCAAAATGGGTGTTTGTTGTGAAAGCGGCAACATATTTAGTATTAATTATTGCTTATTAATTATAAGTAAGATGAGATGATCACTGGTCATGAACCAGCTGACTCCCCCACGAAGGTCCTTCATCAAAACATCACCGCTTCGTTTGTGAAATATGTAGTCAGCGTTCCCTCTGAGGCTTCGCTGTGGTCCAGGTCCTGGTCCTGGTCCCCGTGGGCGTGCAGAGCCGAGGCCCGCTCCAGCAGCCGGCCTTTCAGCAGCTTCCCTCCCCGGGTGCCGGTAGGGCGGAGGCCCCGTCAGAGGGGCGCCGTCGGGGGTCGCCGGGGTCCGGCCGTGGATGACGATCGGGTCCTCGTCCCCCGCGCCGATGTCCCGGGGCTCCTTGGAGGGGCTCTGGTCCGGGGGTGTGGAGCCGGGCGCCTGGGGGACGACGCGGGGGCTCGGTTCGGGTGGGGGGGGCGGAGCCAGAGGAGGCAGCTCGTCAGGCCTCCCTGAGAGCAGAGCACCAACGCGCTGTCACGGCTTCTCAATAACCAGCATGAACAGAAGGGGGGCGGCGGGTACCTGGGGGAGGAAGGTCCAGCTTCATCTTCCTCAGTTCAGCCATGGAGGCCTGAAGCTGCTCGATGACGACATCGTCGCTGTAGAACAAAGTGTGAGCGATCCGCTCCTGGAGGAACTCTCTGAGGTCCTCCAGAGACATCTTCAACAGCCGCTCTGCACACACACACACACACACACAAATAGTCTTCAGCGTGACTTGAACAATTGTAGTTGAAGCTGCATTTGTTAGCATAGCATAGCATAGCACATCTAACTTGTTATAACACCATGAGAAGCTGGAGCCCACTCCAGATGTTCAGACTGAGCTGTTGGTCACGTCCTTACTCTTGTGTATCTTCAGGATGGTGTACGACATGGCGGTGAGGAGCCTCTCCCCCTCCAGGATGAAGATGTCCCACAGCCGGAGCGTCAGCGTGAACGGCGTCTGCAGGAACACAAGCGATGCACCGATAATCGCACAGAACTTTGGTCTTCCGGCCTTTTTTCTGGCGGCTCTCCTTCTGGAAAGTCAGGAGGGGTTTTGGGTCCCGGAGCGCTGACAGCGGCCCGATGCTGCCAGACCGCCACCACAGGATCGTGGGCCAATGGCGGTTCAGAGATCACGTATCACCGGGAGAGTTTTATGCTGAAGTCGTGTCAAATCTTTTAAAAAGGCAAGCTGGAAAATTCCGGTGGGTCCTCGTTTGCTTTCATTGTCATTTCAACTGTCATTCAAAGATTCTTCCAAAAAATGAAGTTTAGAGCGGAGACAACAGATGGACCATAGAACCTCCTGACAGTTGTTTTCTCATCACATTAATAGATCGTACCAGTACGATGCAGAAGCATTTATTTATACGAGGAGTTATGATGACAGAATACATCATCAACTCTACTAAGAAACATTTATCAACTTAAGTTTACATGCAAGACTGGGATGTGCGTATGCTAACGATTAGCATCAGCGGTCCGACGCCTCCACGTTGAGGACAACGCGGTGAACTGGACACAGTGGTTTGGTGTTTTAGGGACGCGAACCCGTCACACCGCCATCGTCACAGAAGGAAGGAAGTTGACAAACTGTGACGCCACTGTGTTGCTAACTGGAGGTGTGAAACGACGAAGGATGAAGATCAGCTTCCTCACCCTGTCAATGAAACACTGGAGGAACCATTTAGTGCAGTAAATCCCTGCAGACATTTGCTCTCTGTCCTAGAGAGACACAGAGAGACAGACGGGGAGGATCATCAATCATCTGTCTGAATTCCTGCAGCCAGCTTGTGTCTCTGCGGTGAAGACACTTCTCACCAGATGTTTCTTCAGCTTGGGGATGAGTTTGGAGACGATCTGATCGTGGTGAAGCTGGAATCGCTGAAGTTTGGGGAACCCGGGAACAAAGAATCCTTTCGGAAAGAAAAGAGAGGCGCTTCTTAATACCACTTAATACCAGCGGCCTGCAGTCACCGCTTCCTCCTCAAAGCATGCGGGGGGGCGTCTCACCGTGCATGCCGTGCTTCTGATTGGTTAGCAGCTGCGACAGCGCCCAGAAGGCATCCTCCTCGTTCATGTACATGAGAAGCAGGGCGGCGATCTGACTCATCCCCTGGCAGTAGCTCACCTCCTGCAGGCAGCCGGCACAAACAACACATGTCCAGTCCCTGCAGCACGAGGCTGCAGCCTGGAGCCAAAGCTCCAGCAGTTAAAGCTGCATTCTGTGTCGTGACCAGCAGGGGGCGACTCCTCTGCTCCCATAGACGTCTATGAGGAAATGACTCTACTTCTCTGTAGTGACCAGCAGGGGGCGACTCCTCTGCTCCCATAGACGTCTATGAGGAAATGACTCTACTTCTCTCTTCATTTGTTCCCTCAGTAAACATTGTAAACATGAGTTTATGGTCTCAGTCTCTAGTTTCACGTTTTCTTAAACACAGCATGATGTTCATTTAGTGACTTATGGTCCACTTAGAGTCAAAGCGACCATAAAGCAGGGGACGCTTTAGGGCGAGGCTACATGCTGATTGACAGGTCTCTAATAGAGACTACAATACAACGGCTCTACGTCATTCCTTCCAAATGTTGCCACCGCCATGTTGTTGTTTTTGGCTGCCACAGACTGGAAGTGACCATATTTTGAAGGAGTGAGGTAGAGACGCGGTATACTTCTCTGGTGGAGACCTGTCAATCACAAGGTAGCCCCGCCCTAAAGCATAAATGGTATTTTGGTGGGGTTTTTCGGAGAAACGGCTACTTACCGTGTTGTAGACTGAATATGCAGAGAGAACATGGAACAAAGACTGCTGCCTGTAGAGGAGGGAGGAAGACGAGGAAGAGGTACGTGACTTATTCACATGTAAATACATAGTAAGCATGTACAGTAGTGTAGTTCAACAAAGCAACATTCAAACAAAAGACAAGAGAAAACTGCAAGACGAGAACACAAGAACTAAAGAACAGAGAAGAACCGAACAGAGAAAGAAGAAAGTAAAAAATAAAAGACCATAAAACGCAGAAGACAAAAATGTAAATAGAATCAGAGAGGAACATCTCCACCAACATTCCTCTTTGTGTCTATAAGAGTATCTTCTTTTGAATATTTAAAAGCACGTAGCTGCCGCACACTGCGGTCCGGACAGTGACGTCACTGTGAGGGGATGACATCACCTCTCTCACAATGTGTTGAGGCAAAAAGCAGTAGAATAAAACCACTAATCAATCACAGCTTGAGACTCACTTGACTCCAAAGCGATCCATGAACATGACGTGGTTCCTGAAGGTCCGGTTGATGTCCAGGTCGATTTGTTTGATCTCAGTTGAGTAGAGACGGGCCTGATCCTTCATCCTCTGAGCAGGAAAACACAAAGAGAAGCCGGGTCAACCAGGAGGGTCAACCAGGAGGGTTAACTAGGAGGGGTCAACTAGGAGGGTCAACGAGGAGGGTCAACCAGGAGGGGTCAACCAGGAGGGTCAACTAGGACGGACAACGAGGAGGGTCAACCAGGAGGGGTCAACCAGGAGGGTCAACTAGGGGGGGTCAACCAGGAGGGTCAACCAGGAGGGGTCAACCAGGTGGGTCAACCAGGAGGGACAACGAGGAGGGACAACGAGGAGGGGTCAACAAGGAGGGGTCGATTAGGAGGGATCAACCAGGAGTGTCAACTGGGAGGGGTCAACCAGGAGGGGTCAACCAGGAGGGTCAACTAGGAGGGGTCGATTAGGAGGGGTCAACCAGGGGTGTCAACTAGGAGGGGTCAACCAGGAGGGTCAACCAGGAGGGGTCAACCAGGAGTGTCAACTAGGAGGGGTCAACCAGGAGGGATCAACTAGGAGGGTCAACGAGGAGGGGTCAACTAGGAGGGGTCAACCAGGAGGGTCAACTAGGAGGGGTCAACCAGGAGGGGTCGACTAGGAGGGTCAACTAGGAGGGGTCGATTAGGAGGGGTCAACCAGGGGTGTCAACTAGGAGGGGTCAACCAGGAGGGTCAACCAGGAGGGGTCAACCAGGAGTGTCAACTAGGAGGGGTCAACCAGGAGGGATCAACTAGGAGGGTCAACGAGGAGGGGTCAACTAGGAGGGGTCAACCAGGAGGGTCAACTAGGAGGGGTCAACCAGGAGGGGTCGACTAGGAGGGTCAACTAGGAGGGATCCACTAGGAGTGTCAATCAGGAGGGGTCGACTAGGAGGGGTCAACCAGGAGGGTCAACTAGGAGGGTCAACCAGGAGGGGTCGACTAGGAGGGGTCAACCAGGAGGGATCCACTAGGAGGGTCAACTAGGAGGGTCAACCAGGAGGGGTCAACCAGGAGGGGTCGACTAGGACAGGATTGAGATCAAATGTGTTTGGATCTCACCCGTAAAAGGACCAGAAATGTTTTTTAATATCTGGAGCTACAAAGGGACACAGGCTGGATGGCAACACGCTGTCAAATCATGTTTAATATTTGTTATTCACTTTGGATCTTGTTAGCATAGCGTTAGCCTTCTGAGCCAGACGAGATGTAAAAGACCATGTGAAATGTGAGGAGACGTTACCCTGAAAACAGTTTCTACTTGTTGTGTCACCGTGGTTTAATCCCCGATGATACACGTGTGTCTGTTATCAGTAAAACACCAAGATCCATTCTCATCCCACAACCTCTTCCTTAGTCGTGTGAGTTTGAGTCATGAGGACACACACCTCGTACTTGCCCTCGTTCTCCCTCTTCGCCCTCTCCACGTCCAGCACCAGAGCCCAGGCCCGGCCTCGGAGCTGCAGGGGAATGCCCTTGTAGACCCGTTTCACCATCTGACAGCAAAAAGGGGGGGGGGTGGGGGCGTAAACACTGTGTGGATGAAAACTAAAAAGCTTTGGAAAGATGCTTTTCTGCAGAGTCACAAAGCTGTTAAACTCCATGAGAACGTTTTGAAAATGATTTTGCGAATAGCGTTCGGAAAAGTGCAGGATGTTTATATTTCAAACAGCAGGAAGCAGCTTCCGGTTCTTTGAGTCTATTTGTTGGAGCTGCATTCTGTCCATCAGGGGGGCGACTGCTCTGGTTGTATACAAGTATATACGTAGGTAGCCCCACCCTTAAGTATCCCCTGTTTGAAGAGTCACCCCCTGGTGGTGAGTAGAGAGAATGCAGCTTTAACTCATGAAGCTTTGACTTCCTTATTCAAGCCTTGTTCAGACTCCCCCGGAAACCAGGACCCACTTGTCATCACCTCGTTGAAGTTCTGATCCTCACCCTGTCACTGTGCTTGTATTTGTCCCACTTCTTGGCCATCTTCAGCCACTTCTCAGCCCTCTCCACCTCCAGCTGCTTCCTCTGGGGGGAGACAGAAGCAGGTCTGGACACTGTTTGGCGTTCTGGTGCTACTGTAGGTGACGACATCTTCATGACTTCCTTTTTTACCTTTTCCTCATCTGCAGTCGGGGCCGGCAGTTCGTCCTCGCTGGGAACAAATCAAACACAAAGATGATCAGTGAGGCAAACACAGGTCTCCAGAAGGAGGAGGAACCGCGTAGCGACTTACTGCATGAAGCCGAAGCGGTCCATGACTTTGTAGATGCTGTAGTCTGCATCTTCCCAGGGGTCGACCTCCACCCCCCCCTGCCTCCCCTGCAGGCACAAACTGACTTAAATAATATCCAATACATTATTATTTGTGCAGTGTGAATCCATGGGTTTTGTTGGCACTTAGAAATTGAAAGTTTTCATAATTAGAATTATATTCATACAAGAGGATACATGGAGGTCAAGTCATTTCACAGCATCTAAAGCTACTTTCTAAAAACATCCCACAAATTATTTCAAAATGATGTGAAGTCAGTAAAACTACATCAAGTACTAAATGATATATTTTCAGATTCAGGATGAATTCCACTGTTGGTATAAAACCTGGTCCATCCTGACCCAATGAGAGACAGCTACTCACCGCAGCATATTTCAAGATGATATCAGCTCGTTCCTCTGCTATTAGAGTCTCGATGTCTTTCTTCATGTCAATATCTGGAGGAGGAGGAGGAGGAGGAGGAGGAGAGGCAGACCTTTACGAGCTGGACACAAACAACAAGAACAGCAGAAGAACAGCGGATAGACGCGGCCGTCGGTCGCTGAGGACTTTCTTGTAATGATTATCACTAAAACAAAAGTGGTGTGTGATGCATTTCCTTTATTTGTATTAAAAACAATTAAAGGTGTAGTGACTTCTTACAGAGTGTCCCTCAGCTCAACCCTCCTTTCATTACATTTTATCCAAAGCGACTTACATTACATTTTTTAGCCCGGGGAGCAGTAAGGGGTCAGGTGTCTTGCTCAGGGACACTTCAGCAGCAGGGAACGAACCACCAACCTTGCGGTTCCTCTCTACTCCTGCGCCGCCGTCGACCCCTTTCGAGTTCTTCTAGGCCTCCGTGGGACTTTAAAACGTGGGAAACTCTCCAGAGTTTGCTTTGACCTTTCTAGGCTTCCGTAGAAACATGGCGGACTCCGTCTCCTGCTCCCTGAGTAAACATCAGGACTCGTAATACTCAACAGTTAATTCATATTATATTAGAATTCTGCATTTGGATCAGACAACATGCCACAAACTCTCGGTTTACGATAGCTTAGCATAAAAATACATAGCAGAGGAATTTGGCTCACTTCCTGTCCCAACGCGTTCTTTCAAACCTTCCAGAAGTCAGTTTCCTGCAGCCGAGGATCAAAGGAACAAAGCAAGAGAGTCGCTAGCTGACGTGAAGCTGTGTCCCTGAACGCCTCGTGAGAAACTACGGATGTGAGGTTTCATCGGCTTCCTGTGGCTGCTGGTGTCCGATGGTCCTGATGGTCGCCGGGTACCAAGTGTGTTACTAAACCTCACCACCGGTGACAGGAGGCTCCAATGACCCGTCTGCTCCTCAGTTAGTGTTTCCCAAACACACATCAGCAGCAGAATTCAGGGCAGGGAGGTTTGTGATGTCATACCGTTAATCCGGTGTATTGTTGTTCCTTTTAGAACTACACCACCCCAGCTGGAGGCTTTAATCCCCGAACAAAGCAGCGAGGGAACTAAACATCTACACTTTCTGTACGGATCAACACCCGAGGCGAGAACCTCCGAGAGCGAGTCTGGAGCCCCAAACCACCGGGATTAGGAACCTCTCCAGAGGGGATTAGTGCAATCTGTTGTCCCAGAAGAGGAACAAAGAGCCGCGACGGGTTCTTCTACTCAATAAACTTTCATCCGGCCACGTGAAGGATCTGCTTCTGAAACCCGTCACAGGCACTGAGAACCTGTGACATCTTCTCCTCACAGTCTGCAGGCGACCTCAGGCACCGAGCATCCTGCATCCCATCGTCGCTGTGAAGGTGCGTCGAGTCTGATGAGTTCCCAAAACGGATTATTCAGCTTTTTGACCCGATGATTTAATCTCAACATCGTCCAGGATTCACAATAAGAACTTATTTAGAATATCCAGATGCAGCAATGCGAGTCATCCACATCTGGGGAATCTCAGCGAGCCGATGCTGCCTCCTCGGGTCTGAATGGGGGTTAACGGGGTGAATCATTCAGCGAGGAGGTGGGTGGAGGAGGGTGGAGGTCAGATATCCAGTCGGACGAAGTGGGAGCTGAACGTGATGATTCCCTTCAGCATCGAATCACCCCGAGAGAAACCAGGAGACGGATGCTGAATGTTTCTATTGAATAAAGATTCACTGTGGAGATCATCATTCACTAAATGAACATCATGCTGCATTGAAGAAGACCAGAGGTCACTGGTGAAGACCAGAGGTCACTGGTGAAGACCAGAGGTCACTGGTGAAGACCAGAGGTCACTGGTGAAGACCAGAGGTCACTGCAGAGAGCAGCTTTTCTTTTCGTCCAACATAATAGGACGACTACACTCGTCGTAATGACAACGAGGTTTGTCGTAGGAACTCGCTCACAGTCACCAAAGTCCGGCAGCGACGGAAAGAGCTGATCACGAGGACCCACCGGGACCAGACCCCCGGTCCACGTCCAGACCAAAGGGGCGGATTTGGATCGACGTGAACAGACGTTTCAGTGGTTTTCTGCAGCAAGCCGTGAAACACCGCCCCCTATGTGCGGGAGCGCGTAGCTGCGTGCAAACAAAAGGGGAGAATAGTTTCTCTTTTTCATTCATAGAAACACAAGAAAATAGCTTTCAGTTGTATTTAATCACCACTTTAGTGATAATTTAATGAGAATTACTGCCTGCAGCCTTTAATAACTTGGATTTAATACGTGCACGTAGAAACAGACTTTTATTTGCTCCCGTAAATCAAACGTCGGAGAGCCGCATTCAGTCGGTACCGACCGAGTTCTGCCGTGTGTCGCTCTGTGCCGTCGCGCGCACGCGCACGCGTCGTCTCCCTTTCTTTATTCCGAAGACAATGAAGACACACAGGAAGAAAAGGGAATAAGCGGCGGGACGTTACCGGGGTCCGAGCAGCGCCGCGGCTCCTGCGGGCATCACGCGGGGAAAGAGGCGCTCCGCGGGGCGCCAGCAGCGGCGCGCGCACCCCCTCGCGCTCACACGCACGCGCCGCGCGCGGGTCCCGGTCCCACCGGAGCGGGGAGCGCAGCGTGGCACCAGTCAGCCGGAACAGGACCTGCCCCCGTCCGCCCCCCTCTGCCTCCACCTGCTGGAGAAAGAGACAAACCTGACGGTGCAACATCGCCGCGTAGTAAAGAACGAATGCGAATGAACTCATCGATATGGTGTCGATTTATTGAACATATAAAAAGTGATACAACGTGAAAACACAAGATGAATAATGTTTACATGTGAAGCCGTCAAGCGCTCAAATCATTGGTGGGCACATTTAGAGTGACGTCATCCACTAAACATCTGGAAGGGGAAAAGCAAACAATGAGTGCAGTGAAATATGAATGAAGCAAACAAATAAATGCACACAAACATGTAGAACGTCTTGTGATGTTAGTGATTGACAGGCGGAGTGGGGACTTTTATTTGAATAATCTTTAAATCTCAATTTGTTCTGCGTGGGGCGACTGTGGGTCAGTGGGGAGCAGGTCGTCCTCCAGCCAGAGGGTTGTCGGTTCGATCCCAGGCTCGGCTAACCTGCATGTCCATGTGTCCTTGGGCAAGACACTTAACCAACATGGCTCCTGTAGCTGCGACTACAGTGTGGATGTTAGTGACTGATGGACAGGTGTCACTGTGTGTGTGTCTCCTGTCATCAGCGTGTGAAGGGGTGAATGAGTCTGGTGGTGTGGTAGTCAGGTCAGGTGGTGGTGTGGTGGTCAGGTGGTGGTGTCGTGGTCAGGTGGTGGTGTGGTGGTGTGGTAGTCAGGTCAGGTGGTGGTGTGGTGGTGTCGTGGTCAGGTGGTGGTGTGGTGGTGTGGTAGTCAGGTCAGGTGGTGGTGTGGTGGTGTGGTGGTCAGGTGGTGGTGTGGTGGTGTGGTAGTCAGGTCAGGTGGTGGTGTGGTAGTAAGGTGGTCAAGTGGTGAGGTGATCAGGTGGTTTGGTGATCAGGTGATCAGGTGGTCTGGTGATCAGGTGGTCTGGTGGTCAGGTGGTCTGATGATCAGGTGGTCGGGTGGTTTGGTGGTCGGGTGATCTGGTGGTCAGGTGGACCACGCGTACGCAGACATGCCGCTCTCCTTCCACAGCCGACAGCGAGCCCACGAGTAGTTGTGGACAGCGGTCAGCTGGTCGGACAGGAGAGCAGTGGCTGCTGGGTATTCTGGCCACTCCTCCTTCATCTTACCTGCAAAAAGAAATAAAACCGATGTTTTCCACAAGCAGTTGGGCAAGTTACTGAAAATAGGTAATTAGTTACAGTTACTAGTTACTTACCAAGTAATTAGTTACTAACTTTTATGTCTGCTTTTTAAATGTAATGAATATCAACAGTCAAACACAATAAACCTATTTTTTAGACCTATTTATTGTATCAACAGGCCTTCAAATCAAGCAGGAGTACAAAAGTCCCAGAGGAGACAGAGGACAGAGGACAGGCGCTCGGTAAAATACTCACTAACTGTGAAGGGGACACGTGAATCGGGCCAGAACTTAAAGGGACAGTGAACCCAAACTGTGTCACAGAAACCTTCCATGCGTGGGGCCCGACCCCAATGTCCCCCTTGGACCCTCGGAGTCGACGGCCTCACCGGCCTCGGGCTTTAGGACAGAACACGCGCACGTAACCCCCACGAAGAACCTTCACCTGTTCTGGCAAAGTGGACCAGGTGGCGCGTGAGGAGGTCCCTGAAGCTCCGGTCCCGATCGGAGGGGGGTCTCCCCAGAACCGCCTCCAGCCCGCCGAAGAGCGCCAGGGCGTCCAGGCGGTGGAAGGAGAAGCGGCTGGCGAACGGCATCAGGTCGGAGGACTCGTCCACCGGCGCCGAGGGCGTGTGGGTCACCACGTAGCGGTACACGGGGCTGAGGAGGGCCGCTGGACACACGGACAGGGATTCATCTTTCACATCTACAGCAAATAACTAACGCCGCTTACACCTGTAGAAGAAGAGGCCTCGAAGCAGCTGAAAAGTACCGACAGGCCCAAAGCGCTGGAGGCCTGGGGGTTGCGGAGGCTAAAACTCGGGTACGAGAGGAGCAGGCGGAGCCAGGAGGAGGACTTTCGGTTGGCCTGGGGGGGGCGTGTCCGCAACGACCGCCAATATTCCTCAAATTCCCGTAGTTTCAGTGTCAAGTGTTTTTCATTTATTTATATTTACAGTAATGTTCAAACATAAAAGCCCTGGCTGCTCCGTGTTGAAGTGCCCCTGAGCAAGAGGCTTAACTCCTAATTGGTCCCCGGGTTAAAACCGTACCGTCTAAATGACCTGTGATGTGATGCTGCGTTCGTTTGGGTTCAGGCTCCGTTTGTCAGCCTGTCGGAAAGAACCCAAACGGTCCCTAGTTGACGACGAGTTGCGCTTTTACCTGCGGCCCCCCGGGCCAGCTCGTTGCTGGGGCAGGTGGCCCGGATGTCGGACCCCATGGTGGTGTAGGCCCTCTCCGGACAGCGGTCCGCGGTGGGGCAGGGGGCGGAGCTCGGATAAAGCGCCAACGCTTCTCTGGGGAGATTAGCGCTGAAAGCCTGGAGCTTCTCTGTGAGGAGCAGACGAGGGTTATGACCCTGCTCCATTCGGGTTCCCCATCGGCGCCGGTAGACCCGGATGACCTCATCAACCAGGAATAAGGACACCGGTGTTCCACAAGGCTCTATTGTTGGTCCCATTATTTCATATTCAGATACCTTCTTATAAATGTAACGTATACTGACATGTTTGAGCTTCCTCTAGTCATCATGGTTCTGTTTGCAAACAGGACTTTCATGCTTTGGGTTCAGAGGGTTCACGCTGATGTTGCCCCTGTGCAGATGTTACCTGTTACAAACCACTGGTAGTCCCCCCAGGTCCACATGGAGATGTTGGCTGCCGCTGGGCTGCAGAGGGAAACACAGGTTTGAGGTTTGACGAGATGAACCCGGACGCCAGAACCGGGAACCGGGCCGCGTCCTCACCTGAAGTCGACCTCCTGCTCCGTTGTCCCGACGACAAAGGGGACGTCGCTGTGGCCTCCTCCCTTCTCCCACACTTCGAAGGGCGGAGCCTCCAGCACGTAACCGTCCACCACGGCCACCGGGCCGGCGAAGCGCCCCCTGGTGGGGAGATCCATCCAGTCCTCTGGGGCCCAGGACGGGTAGTCCTGCCACGGGACGGCGTGCTGGGGGGGGGAGGATATTCAGAGTAAATAGAGCCGATGATGTGACGAGCTCCAGAAACACTAAACAGCTCCGACAATCAAAACGCTTTCACGTCGTTGGGAACAAATCAAAGAGATTTCTGCTCTTTTCACTGCGTCGCCTGAATGAACCGATCGTTTATTTTCTACTTTAAAACTAAAATGAATCCACTTCTCTAGAAACTTTAAAAGCAAACTGTTCCGTGACTTTATTTAAGTCAACTTATTACGATTTAACGGGGAAGTAAAATAAAACGTATTTAAAGAGCGTAATAACCTCCACAGATTATTTCACATCATAAAATATATATTCATATTTCATCTTGAGGTGGAAAATGTGCTTTTTTATCCAATAAATCCACACAGGTTCACGGCAACACAAAATGATTTTTCCGACTTTCCACATTTAAATAATTTAATTAGAAACTTTCATTCAGGAACAAATAATTCTAAAGTCTAATTTTAGCATAAAGATGAACTATTTTTATAAAATACTGAAATATTGTGTGAATACTTTGTAATTGGTGCCATGACTCCGCCTCCCACCTGCAGGACTTGTTTGACGGACAGGTGCCGGAGGCAGGTCCGGTCCCTGCAGCCCGTCCTCTTCAGGAACACCAGGTTGTCGTCCTCGGCCCGCTCCAGAGACGCATTGAGGACGGACGAGCCGCTCATGTCCACCGCCGCGTGGAACAGACCCTTCGCCAGCGGCGACGTCATCAGGGTCCAAACCGAGGTCCCGCCTTCGGCAGAACAGAGACGGGTCAGAACTCAGAGCAACGGGTCACCCAGAGACTCTTTTGTTTCTTATAACGTTGAATTATGGAGCGTTTTGTTCTCCGTTTGACGAGCTCGAGTCCGCTTTGGAAGCTGTGCATTGCATTCTGGGAAGAATTCTTCAATTAGAACAACGAATGAATCTTTATTCCTCATACGCTTTTATTTATTTACACTTAATAAAGTCTGTGGTTAATAAAACAAGCTTCGTTGGTTCTGTTCATACTGTCCAGTGTTTATTCTGCCCTTTGGGTCAAACAAAGGTCAAACAAAAGGTCAATCATTCCTCCCAGTGACACAGTTCCTACCAGAGCTCTGCCCCCATATGGAGACTCTCTCTGGGTCTCCTCCGAACGCGTGGATGTTCCTCTGGACCCACTTCAGAGCAGCGATCTGGTCCATGAAGCCGTAGTTCCCTGTGGGGGGGAACAAGGATGTGACCTTGTGGTCCCATGTGGTCTCTCTGCTGCTTCAGGACCTGAATTCAACTCTTCTCAAGGAGCGCGAGCCAGGAAACGTCTTATTGGTATACATGTATGTCAACTTGGACACGCCATCCACACGTGACCTCAGGTGTGTATTATATACATGAACTAAGGCGTGACTCACCTGAGGTGTTCTTTGGGGAACCTTCTCTCAGGATCTCCAGAGCCAAGAAGCCGAAGGCGTTGAGTCGGTAGTTGAGGCTGACGTAGACGACCTGGGTGTCGGCGGCGAGCTGCTCCGTGGGGGAGTATCCCGGCTCCCCCCCACTGAGCGCGTGCAAACGCCCCCCGTGGATCCACAGCACCACGGGCAGCCCGGCGCCGGGCGCCAGCGTGGGCGTCCACACGTTGAGGAAGAGGCAGTCCTCCTGGCCCGCCACCCGGCCGGACCGCGGGCGCACCTGAGGACAAACGGCGCGGAAGCGTCCGGCGTCCGTCACGCCGGCCCGGCACGCGGGCTCGGCCGGAGGCGCCCAGCGCAGGTCGCCCACGGGCGGAGCGGCGTAGGGGACGCCCTTAAAGGAGTAGGCTCCATTTTTCTGTCAAAGGGGGACGTTGGTTCATATGATAGAATAAATGAACAAACATCAGTCATTAAAGTAAATCTCAGCTGGTCGTTCCACATTCATGTTTGACCCTCATACTACGTTTCCTTCAGGTCTTTGAGGAGTCGCCACACTCACGTGTCTCCCCCGGAACTGGCCGCAGTCCGTGGTCACCTGGGCGACGCCCGGCGGCAGCGTCTGGGCCACGAAGCCCAGGTAGGCGGCGAGCGAGAGCAGGGCGGCCACGCCCAGGCCGATGAGCAGGACGCAGCGCCTGGAGAGCACCAGCAGGGGGCTGATGTAGTGTCTGTGCCGGACGTACTGCGCCTCCTCCTCCTCCTCCTCCTCCTCCTGCACCAGGTAGCGGTACTCCGCCCTCTCCAGGACCTCGAACGCGTCCTCATTCATCTTCGCTCTGAGGCACAAAGGGGAGGAGTCTCGGGTCAGGTGACGGCTTTTATTAAATCGGTTTGTGGCGACGGTACAAGCCGGTAAACATCACGGCGTCGGTTTCTCCTCCGACATTCAGTGACAAACAGACAACCAATCAGCGATCAGACAGGGGGAGGGGCTAGTAGCGTTAGCTGCTAACCGCTACGTGTTAACGGCTAACCCGCGGAGGGTCACAGTTACGTTGTGATGTGTTCAGGCTCTGCTCAGTGAAAATGAGAATCTGATTATTTTATCAAAGCTAATCTGAAAAATGAATCCAGATGTTTTCACATGAATGACGAACAACGATATTAGAGATGAATTATGATCCGTTTAAAGTCTCAAAGCACATTATCATACAGCATTAAATAAAATAATGACAACCAAATACAACCGTTTATTTCCTTCTTACTTTAATAATGTGTTGTTATAAACATAACAACACATTTATACGTTTGGACGGTTTAGTGACTAAATATTGGTTTGAATCAGCAGCCAAACAACAAGAAACATCATCAATGATTCAGAGAACAGCTTTTACACCCAATACACAGATATGATGTACAAGTATCATATATAAGATGTAGTAGTATTATGCAAGTAGTATAATGTAGTAGCATCATGTATAACTATGGTGTAGTAGTATTATGCAAGTAGTATAATGTAGTAGCATCATGTATAACTATGGTGTAGTAGTATTATGCAAGTAGTATAATGTAGTAGCATCATGTATAACTATGATGTAGTAGTATTATGCAAGTAGTATAATGTAGTAGCATCATGTATAACTATGGTGTAGTAGTAAATAAAACATTACGCTGCTATAAATCCCTTTTTTGAATCGGATCACTCACATAACGGTTTGTTTCTTATTCATAACACGAACACGCGCACACAAACACGCACGCGCCAAACAGGAAACAGTCCGCGTGGTTCAATGATCGGACAGGACGTTAAAATACTTTTTTCTCATGGAATAAATATGATTAATAAATCTCGGCGTTGGTCGCACTGAGACCGTCTGGCGGGACACCGAGACGGGCTCCCGGGAGGAGACAACGTGTCCTTCGTGCGGACGTCCGGTACCGGGACGCGGACCCGAGCGGCTCGTTACTCACCATGTCGGTGCGACCCAACGACTTTGTTCCAGACTGAGCAGCTCGCCCTGCGGAGGGGGCGGAGCCTCGCGTCTGCTTACGTGCTGTCGTCACGTGGTGCCGCGCGGCCCCCGCGCGCGCCCCCGCGGTTCCGTCGTTTGTGTTGTTCTGTGATCTCATTTCCCACATTATCACACATCTAAAACAACGGAAATTGAGGGTTGAGAAGTCTTTGTTTTTTACAGGTCGTGAGGAGGAAAATAAATAAAAATATATAATTGATTCCTATTCTTTTATGAAGGCCTGCATCCATAATACGAACAACAAAGATTATTCATCTAAAAAATGAGTTATTTCTTTAATCATCGTTATTGGTTACATGATTACGTCACACGTGCATTGATCCATGACGACAGGTGCGGGTTTTGTTGGTGCCACCTGCTACGCCGCCTTTTCAAAGTATTGCACACCGATTATTGATTAACTGTATAATATACAATAAAGTAAAACAAGAAGAACACAGTCACTGGATCCTGGAAAAGTCTCAATGTGAAAAAAAGATGTGAACGTTTTGAATATGAAAATATTAAATCTGTAAACCTAAAAATAAAATACAGTGAACATCAAAAACTATATTCATCCCGAAAATGTGTGTGTTTGTAGCGTCAGTGACCCGCCAAACCCCCCGAGCCCCTCGGCAGCGGCGCTCTGTGAGGACATTATTCCACTCAAACAGCGTGAAGACGTTGCCTTCTTTTTCTACTGATTTCACACCGACCAATCAAAACGCTTCGTTGCAGCACGTTGACCTTTACAAACTCGCTGGGTGTGTAATTCTGGGGGGGGTTGAGGTTTCACTATTCATTCAATTTGTCACAATCAGCAGAAAAACAAACCATCAAAACTCAGCTGAGAGCGTGCACGTGGACGGGCGCTGGCCCGGTGACCCCGGTGACCCCGGTGACCCCGTGAGCCTTCTGAAGAAGCCGAGCAGAAATGAAGGAGAGAAGAAAAGAGAAAAGGTTTCACCTCCGCCGAGTCCTGAAAACGGGGCACTCGGCCCCCCGTTGGCATGAAAGCTCATTCTCTCTGACGGAGCTGTTCTCGTGGGAGGGGGGGCGAATTGGAGCGGTGCTATTTTCGGGACGAGGCAGACGGTTTTGGCCTCTCATCATCACGGGATCTCGTGTCAGCTAATGAAAGTCTCTCGGTGCCGCCGGGGGAGGGGAGACGTCCCTGTTTTTAGATCCCTTAAGGACATCGTCACGCTAACAAAGCGGCGGCTCTGCAGAGTGAATCCCAACCTGCAGGAGTCAAAGCTGCGTCCCCCCCGGTGACCACCAGGGGTCCCGTAGACGTCCATGAGAAAATGACTCTTTCCTGGTTTATTCCCTCAGTAATCAGGTCTCTAGTTCCAAGTCTTCAATACAAATGATCCACTTAAAGCAGGGGATGCTTCAGGGCGGGGCTACATGCTGATTGACAGGTGTGTTCCTTCACAGCAACTGGCTCCTCCCACCAACCTCACAGGTTCCGAACATTACATTACATGTCATTTAACGGACGCTTTTATCCAATAAGTGCATTCAACCCTTCTGAACAGAAACAAGAGAGTCGTCGGTAGAAGAACAAAGTGAGTTTCAGTAGAACAGAAATGAACCAGATGAAAGCTGCAGCTCCTCTTCTACCTGAGCAGGTGAGTCCTACAGCTTTACCAGGTGAGCAGGTGTTTGTCTCTGAGCCTGAGCTTCTACAGTCCAGGAGAGCAGACTCACGGCCTCCACGCCTTTTCCACTGTGCATTTTACAGACCTGTTTTAGTGTAGTGCACAGCGAGGGTGTGTGTGTGTGTGTGTGCGTGTGTGTGTGTACACTACACAGGTTGTGTGTGTGCTGCCTTCTGCAACTCGCTGCCTTCCAGCTACCCCCGCTGGCTAAGCCCCTCACAGGGGGCTCATAGGGGGTGAAAAGAGGAGTCCAGTCTCCTGGCGGTACACAGCCTCTCCACCACCGAGACCCCTGCAGTGCCTCCTAGTGGCCACACGTGGTAACTGGGCCCCAGGCGGATCAGGGAGCATCAGATGTGGTGTGCAGCCCCACCACAAGGGGGACACGCCCTGGCACCCGTCAACCACTGCCCCCGGCTATGGGCAATTAGCCCCATTGCCTCGTGGGTCAGCCTCTTGAGGCAGAGACAGTTCAGGACTGTGAAAGAGTCACTATGGCAACCGTCCATCGGAATAAGTGCTTCTGATGTAATTTAGCAATCATCAGTGTGAAGGAGGGAGAGAGAGAGAGAGAGAGAGAGAGAGAGAGAGAGAGAGAGAGAGAGAGAGAGAGAGAGAGAGAGAGAGAGATGTGGAAAGCTAAAAGGACACCTGCAACATCCTCTGTCCTGAAAAAAATGAAGTCTAAAAAAGCAAAAGGCTGCTGGGGTTGGTTTCACAGCATGATTCACATGTGTGAAAACAAACAAGGGTGTTTAGTTGTTGTGTTATAGACAATCATCACGAGCTGCTTCAGTAAACGCAGCTCTCCTGGGAGGAGGTGCTCATGGGCCGACGCCTCCACGTGTGAGGCTCCTCCCTCTGCACAGGTGCAATCTCCACCCACCTGACCGCTCGCATCGGACCGGTCTGTGTGTGTGTGTGCGTCTCCTCCATTTGTCACATTCACGTCTGAACTCACTACTGATCGTCGTCGGTCTGCGACAGACGTTCTTATTGGTTTGCAACATTAACTGAAGGCAAGAAGTCGTTTGTCGACCTTTGAACCCTGTAGTTCTGCCTGTTGGCCGTCACCAAGTGACCACACATGGACTGATGAGGACGGAGAGACGGCAGATGCCTGCGTGTAGCCCCGCCCTAAAGTAGACGTCTATGGGAGCAGAGGAGTCGCCCCCTGCTGGTCACTACAGAGAAGTAGAGTCATTTCCTCATAGACGTCTATGGGAGCAGAGGAGTCGCCCCCTGCTGGTCACTACAGAGAAGTAGAGTCATTTCCTCATAGACGTCTATGGGAGCAGAGGAGTCGCCCCCTGCTGGTCACTACAGAGAAGTAGAGTCATTTCCTCGTAGACGTCTATGGGAGCAGAGGAGTCGCCCCCTGCTGGTCACTACAGAGAAGTAGAGTCATTTCCTCATAGACGTCTATGGGAGCAGAGGAGTCGCCCCCTGCTGGTCACTACAGAGAAGTAGAGTCATTTCCTCATAGACGTCTATGGGAGCAGAGGAGTCGCCCCCTGCTGGTCACTACAGAGAAGTAGAGTCATTTCCTCATAGACGTCTATGGGAGCAGAGGAGTCGCCCCCTGCTGGTCACTACAGAGAAGTAGAGTCATTTCCTCATAGACGTCTATGGGAGCAGAGGAGTCGCCCCCTGCTGGTCACTACAGAGAAGTAGAGTCATTTCCTCATAGACGTCTATGGGAGCAGAGGAGTCGCCCCCTGCTGGTCACTGCAAAGGACGCAGCTTTAACTCATGAAGCTTTTACTGGAGGTTGTTTCCTGGTCATTGATAATATATCAGACTCTTTCCTGCAACAGACTGAAGTCTTTCAACACAAAACAGAGTCACCTGTTAAAAGAAAAAGCTTTAATCATTCCAAAAGACATAACGTCTTCTGTATCACATGATCACATTAATCTGGACTACAGCGGCTTCAATTACCACATTCCTTTGAATGCCCCCCCGCTGATTGCTGTTTTATTAATGAAAGGCTCAATGCACAAAGACGGCTCATTAACTTTTCATGTGTTTCTGGAGATTTTTGTCCACCTCACCTTTCCTCGCCTGGAAACAATAACCAGGACGGGGAGGAGGCGCGAGTCATCGAGGGCGCCGAGGAGGGACTGAGTCCCCGAGCGATGAAGTCAATCAGCTGGACCTCGCAGATGTTCATTCACACAGCAGCTAATCTGTAGGTTTCCATTAAACGCTGTCATATTTTAATCAGGGGATATGAATTACACAATAAATGATCCACTAATTAAAAGTTTAAGCTCGTTTAAAGGCTGGCATGGTTTGATCGATCTCAAATTAAAATGGAATATCCGAAGATGAGGCTCAGGGGGTCAATAAAGGCCTCGTGTCCAGAGTCTCAGATCTCGCCAGAACTCTGTCTTGGACGTATTTCAGAATAAAAGCCTGACTCAGGGCTTTAATTTTGAAACAGAAACAGGACGTGGTGATTTGAACACGAGCATGTGAAGTCATTTTGTAAAGATGTCAGAACTGAAGCATCGTTGCATGTCGATGTAAAGAGATAATTTTTATCTCCATGTGGAGGATTGTTACTAAATGTTAATGACGCCGCGTGGTACCCGGGCATCTCTTTCCACAATGAGGACAGCGTCCCCTCGGTGGACATTCAGTGGACACGTGTCCCCGCTTAGGGAGCGTTCAGCTTGAGGCAAGCGAACAATTGAACAAGAGAGGAGACGACGACGGGCCAACAAACTGCTCCTCGAGCGCACAAACCTCCTCTCCGCCGCCTGGTCCTCTGGCAGAGGCCTCTCAGGCCTCCTGCGTCTTCTCCCGATAAAAGACTCATGATCCAAGTCTCCTTCAGGAGACACAGGCGCCAAGGAAACAGGAAACTAGTGAGCGACGGAGAAAAGACGCCATCACGACGTGTTTTCAGAACTCTTCTTTAACACAAAGGTGACAAATAGCTCACTGATAAAATGATCATTGAAAACACAAATTAAAACCCACATTTGAGTCAATATTTAGCAGGCTTTTTTTCACGAGTTAATCTTTGATTCTTCATCATATGTTCAACACGTGACCTCTCTGTGTAAAGGGTGTTTAGTGGACTATGATGGATGACTCACTGAAGTGGTTTTATGTCTTTATGCTTCATTTTGTCTGCAGCTTTTCAGAAAATAATGCAATGATAATAAATTCTGCGCTGATGGGAATCATCTGAGAGTCACTCTTTCTCCCATAAAGTAATAAGGTATCAGGATTTAATCTCAACTGGTGTCAAACCAACAGAAAGTTGCCTTCATTAGAGTCACACAGTGACTGTTTGCGTCTCGCGTCCCTCGTCCCCTGAACGACATCGTGTGACATTAACGTAAAAGACATCAGAGGAATATGAAACATCCTCGTCCCAGGACGGCTTTATCGCTTTGTGGACTGATGACTGATTTTGCTTTCGCCATCTTGGAATATCACCATGTTGTTTGTTGTCACACAGTGACCACGAGGACCGAGGAGGACGTAGAGACACCAAATCCTCCCCTGACCTTCAGGTGGAGGTCAGAGAGACGGATCCCTGCGGCTCCGATCCTGCATGAGACTCAATGATTCCCCCAAAGATACCCAAAATAAAACCATTACAAATACAACAAACTTGGTTCCGGTGAGTCGAACAATGTTCTCCCGTCTGCTGCAGTCAGGGGTCATTTCATTATCCTTATTATCATTGTCCTTATTATCATTATCATTGTCCTTATTATCATTATCCTTTTTATCATTGTCCTTATTATCATTGTCCTTATTTTCATTGTCCTTATTATCATTGTCCTTATTATCATTATCCTTATTATCATTGTCCTTATTTTCATTGTCCTTATTATCATTGTCCTTATTATCATTATCATTGTCCTTATTATCATTATCCTTTTTATCATTGTCCTTATTATCATTGTCATTATTATCATTATCATTGTCCTTATTATCATTATCCTTATTATCATTTTTATCATTGTCCTTATTATCATTGTCCTTATTATCATTGTCCTTATTATCATTATCCTTATTATCATTGTCCTTATTATCATTATCCTTATTAATATTGTCCTTATTATCATTGTCCTTATTATCATTATCCTTATTATCATTGTCCTTATTATCATTGTCCTTATTATCTATTATCATTATCCTTATTATCATTGTCCTTATTATCATTATCCTTATTAATATTGTCCTTATTATCATTGTCCTTATTATCATTATCATTGTCCTTATTATCATTATCCTTATTATCATTTTTATCATTGTCCTTATTATCATTGTCCTTATTATCATTGTCCTTATTATCATTATCCTTATTATCATTGTCCTTATTATCATTGTCCTTATTATCATTATCCTTATTAATATTGTCCTTATTATCATTGTCCTTATTATCATTATCCTTATTATCATTGTCCTTATTATCATTGTCCTTATTATCTATTATCATTATCCTTATTATCATTGTCTTTATTATCATTGTCCTTATTATCATTATCCTTATTAATATTGTCCTTATTATCATTGTCCTTATTGTCATTGTCCTTATTATCATTATCCTTGATAACCATTGTCCTTATTATCATTGACCCTAATCATCTATTATCATTATCCTTATTATCATTGTCCTTAATTATGATTGTCACTTATTATCATTGTCCTTAGTTATCATTATTATCATTGTCCTTATTGTCATTGTCCTTATTATCATTGTCCGATACGACCCCCCCCCTCCAGTCATTGGGTCTTTTCCGACTTCTCCACCCTTCTATCCTATATCAGGATGGAGTCCCATTGCCAAGATTTTGCATGAATGTATAATTCATACCTGCTTAATAAATGTTGAATTCTAAATTATTTACATTTCAATCCGGCCGAGTTTAATAAAGAAGAATTTGTACCTTAAAATATCACAGATAGAAATTCTCTCTGCATGGACACAAATGTGTCATCAAGGTTCTAAATCAAGCTCAGCCTCATGAAAGAAGTGGCACGTCTCCGGTTTGCCTCGTGATCCTTGTCGTGGGAAAACCTCGAGCTCCATGTGAACAAACAGCTGTGCATCCACAACAAGATGGAGTTTAAAAGTCAATATTTACTTCTTTTCCTCCGAGAAAGTGTTTCGCTCTCAGAACTTTGGAGGCTGTCGAGGAGGAACGAGTCACTGTCCCTTTAAAAGGAGGAACGAAGTGACTGTTCTAATTATTCAGCTCAAAGCCTCACGGACACGACGCGTAACGTTTGAATAATTGATCAAGAACGAGGAGTTTGGAAGTCGACACGCGTGTGACTGCACACATGCTGTGTGTGTGTACACGTGTGTGTGTTTACTAAAGGTCAGCTGTGAGGGAAACCTGACATTCCACTGGTTATGCAACAGGGGGAGGAACCTTCCTCCAAGTGAAATCACATCACTGCGGGTCGCTGAAGACGACCTTTGCTTCTCTTCTTCTTTAATTGATTGATTCTTAGTGGAGCTCTGCAGAATAATCAGGGACCAGGAGCACGCCGGCGGCTCTTCCACTTTCACTTCACCCACTTTGGGTGGAGCGACGCATTCAGCGAACTAGAGCCGAGGCTCATGGGAGTAACATGTAGGAGAGGCCTGTGGCCCCCTGTGAGGTGTGGGCATCACGTGTCCTGGAGGACGACATAAAGCGAGCGTTAGATCGCTAAAACGGACATTATTACAAACAGACATCGAACATCCAAAATGATAAAGCTAGTCGCCGTAATTAATTGTTAAAGTAAAGCACATAGAAACGTAGACATAGAAAAGCACGTTACATCCTTTTTAATCCTCAATTCTATGGAGGATTTACCCACAATCCTCCCTGTCCTTTGGGCCCTACGTGCACCACGTGGTAACAGCAGGTGGCGCAATTCAGCCGTCATAAGTATGTTCCAGGTGTGTGTCTGCAGAGTGAGATGTTCCTCACAGCCTGTTTGAGAGTCGTAGCTGTAGAATCAGAGTGCAGAGCGGCACAGAATCAGCCTGCTGTCGCTCTCCAAGCTTTGGCTTTTTCAAAGTTGTGGCCTTCAGAAACATCAGCCACAAGAAGGGAGGAAGGAGGGACTGAAGACATCAAAAGAGGATCTGCCAAAGATCTCAGCTAAGAACTGAAGACTCCCTGAAGACTTCTCCATCCCAAACATCACCTGGAAAGAGATGCTGGAGATGCTGAATCTCCTCCAGATCAAATCGGCCTCCGTCCTGAACTTCTGGTTTGTGCTGCTTAGTCCAGGTGGAGTTTGTTGGATCAGTCCAGGAGGTAAAGTTCTACTTCTCTTTTGGTTTATTCTGGTTTTCTACGCTCTCAATCTCCAGCCGGTGAACATCGACTGGCTGGTTGAGAGGAGCGAGAGGTCAGGTATGATATATATAATATAATATAACAATAATATATTACATTGGTCTTAAAGATCCTGTGACATGAACATCTGTCTCTCTCCTCACGCTGGTGCTGGAGAGCGTGGTCACATGGCCGTGATGACAGGAAGTGGGAGGTCCCGTGTTGGTGCCGTGTGCGGCCTCTCGTGACGGATCATCAACTATCTTCTGTGTGTCCTCATCGCGCGTCCGTCGTCCGTCACCAGATATCCATTTGAAATGTTGGTCATCACAAACTGAGAGTTCCGTGTCGTAACCATGGCAACTGCAGTAGCCAGCATCCCTCGGCGGTAACCACGGAGTCCCTGCCGTTGCTCTCTGCCTGTTAGCGAACAGAGGATTCGTGCTGTGAGCGTCCACTGGCCCGTTGCACCAGCGAAGAGGACGGCGTCCTCACGTCGCCGTGGTGACAGGAGAACAGTCACCAACATGTCCACCGGCTTCTCTGGTGTTCCTCATTTATTATGGAATCAGATTGACTAAATGAAATCAAACTAAATCAGATTACAAAATGACTTCACATGAAGTCGACTTCCTGTTCGTAGGAGCCGATTACGATGAGCTGTCACTCAGGAGGAAGAAGAGGTGCTGCACGGGGGGGCGCCTGGCGCGGGACGTCCCGCTCTTTCCTCCTTTGTGCTCCTTCAGTGTTCTATCTGGACCCGGTCGCTCCTGGTGACACCTGCTAACATCGTTATTACAGCAGTGGTCACATTTGACCGACGTCACTGGTCTCGTCCTGAAGTCTAAGGTTGCATCCACATCCTCCAGAAACCCATCTTTGTTTCCTCCACTCCGACACAACAAAGTGTCCCGGCTTCCTCTGGTGAGCTGCTGGAGGTGGAGAACCTCCAGAATCAGCTGCTGTCAAACACTATTATTGACTCTCTGAGAGCAGGAGAACTTCTGTCACGAGCTCCTCTGACGCTCCTTCTTCTCCCTGAAGGACCTCACACGTCTCTACCTGCTCTGAGTGGGCGCGTGTTTGTGCGTTTGCACGGCGGCGTGTGTGTGTCTGCGCGTGTGTGTGTAGGCGGTGGAGAAAGAGAGGCACCAGATGAAGGCAGTTGGCGACGGCCGCCGAAAGATGGCATCTCGTAGGATGGAGGAGGGGCTTATTCTCACCTGTGTGGTGGCGGCATCAGTAGAACGTGACATGAATCCATCGTGTCACGTGTCACGTCGAGGGTCCTGCCAGTCAACGGGGGCGTCGTCAGGTCTCCTCCTTCGTCACGTGATTTGTCTGGACAAGGTTTTTGGTGTTGTGTGTTTGTGTGTTTGTGTGTTTGCACCAGCCAGCGCTCGAGGGGGGCGGGACGTCAGCGACCATCAGCACCTCCCACCTGGGCGCTGCCGTCCACATCAGGGCCGGTGTTTAGAGGACGTCTCGTTCCTGCCAGATGGTTAGTCTCGTTTTGTACGTGAGACCTCCGATCGGCGATCCACAAGTTGTTTTGGTTCTCACCGATATTCTGTTTCCTCCGACCTCGAGGTTTGTGTCACCCGTGCACCTGAGATGAGGTTCAGGACCCTGCAGGTCCTCAATAGCGCCTCACCTGAGAAACCAGCACCTCCAACAGCTGGAGAGTCCTCAGGGACCTGAGACACACACACACACATATTATGCGTATTATACATGTAACCAGATTATAACGATGAATCCTTCACTTTATGTCCCACTACGTTTGTGAAGGTTCAACAAGATAAAAGTAGACAGAAGATAAAACAACAGTTGAGTTTCACACATCCACATTCGTTCTGCTTTGATTGAATATTTCAAACATGTTGCTTCACGAGCCTCGGTGGCGGCGTGCGGCGTGCGGCCCGGGGAGGAATCTTTGAGGGGGGGGGTCACAGATGCAATCGGCCTCTGGTTGTGTTTGTTTCTCACCTGCAGTCTCTCAAGGACGATTTCCTTACTGTGAAAGTCCAATAATCACGTTGCAGCTTGTTACCATGGTGACATCGTTCGCTTTGCCTCATCCTACGTGAGATGGACGTCTACCAGAGGCTGTGAACGTCGTTCATTTGGGTTTATCAATTCATCTTCTGCTTTGGCTTCACTGATTACTGAATTTTTACCGATGTAAAAGATCACGTTCACATTCATTTAAACTAAACAGTCATTTGCTGCTTGAGGCCTTTTCTTTGTTGCTCTTTGTTTCAGTTTAATACACAACGTGTTGAGATAACGATCTCATGAGAGAAGAATGTAGTTTAAAGTTTAATATCAACATTTATAGAAAGTGAACTGATACTCAGAAAAATCTTTGTTTGTTTGAACAAAAACCACCACAAAGAAAGAAAACAAACCTGCGGGTTCAAAATGGCCGACAGACTTCTAATGCAGAGTCAAAGTGCACATTTAATAGCTCGTGTATACAATGCACATTTGTGTGTCACTGTGTGCGTTTGTGTCACTGAGTGTGTGTCACTGTGTGCGTTTGTGTTACCTCGAGCACAACACGTAATCCTCTGCTTGATGACTGGATGATGGCATGTCAACTAATCCCAGTGTGTCACCAGAGCAGATCTGAGGTCTGCAGTGGGATGGGGGGAGGAAGAGGAGGAGGAAGAGCGTCAGAGTGGAGGACGGTTCACTTACTCCGCTCAGGAAGTTTGTGATTAATGGAGAAAACCAGAGCTGCTATTATGATGACATCACCGATGTGTTCCTTTCCTCTGGTCATGTGACAACCTAAACAGTGTTCGTATCAACGGGGGGAGGGGCCAGTAACGTTAGCCGTAACGTAGGAGCGGTCGGTAAAATCAACGCGCATTTGCTCGTATTGTCACTTCAGTATTCTTTATTCATTGTTCGGCAAAAACAACCTAAATCACACTCATAATAAAAGGAGAATTCAATGCGTAATGCGGTCAAAAATAGTATCTCCTTCCGCTCTCGAAATAGAAAACACACCTGGCCTCAGGTGACATTTAAATAGCCGACGCCCCCTGACGTCATCATTACATCATCACAAATAAATCAACAGAAAAGGCAGTTTCATTATGCACGATAAAAATGCACGTGGCGTGGTGGTTAGCACTGTCGCCTCACAGCAAGAAGGTCCTGGGTTCGATTCCGCCCAGTGGCCTTTCTGTGTGGAGTCTGCATGTTCTCCCCGTGTCTGCGTGGGTTCTCTCCGGGTTCTCCGGCTTCCTCCCACAGTCCAAAGACATGCTCTGGGGATCAGGTTAATTGGGTCACTTTAAATTGCCCGTAGATGTGTGAATGTGAGTGTGAATGGTTGTGTGTCTCTGTGTAGCCCTGCGATTGGCTGGCGACCAATCCAGGATGTACCCTGTCTATCGCCCGAAGTTGGCTGGGATGGACTCCAGCCCCCCCGCGACCCTGTGTGCAGGATAAGCGGTTTGACAATGGATGGATGGATGGATGGACGATACAAATGTAGTGGAATGGCTTCTACAGGGGGAGGGGCCAGTAACGTTAGCCGTAACGTTAGCAGCAACGCTAACTGCCAACTAGCAAGTCAGACCATCAGGGTGAGGAGGAGGGGAGGAGGAGAGGAGGATGAGAGGAGGAGGAGAGGAGGAGAGGAGGAGGAGAGGAGGAGGAGGGAGGAAAGTAACAGTAACAGTTAGCTGATGTTCTCTTTTCATTCCATTTGCTGAGGAGATCTTCCTCAGGCCGTCTGACCCTGTGTGTGTGTGTGTGTGTGTGTGTGTTTGGGTCCAGTGTGTGTGTGTGTATCAGTGTGTAACACACACACACACACTGGACCTCCTGTTTGAGGCGCCATCTGGCAGCTCATCAAATATTAAAGACACGAGCGGACAGCTCGTCACGAGACGGGGGGACGGGGGGACGGAGGGGACGGAATGGACGTGGGGGACGGGGGGGGGCGGAGGGGGTGACCTTGGAGGCACTAATACACGCTAACACACACTAACACACACACTCATTCAGAGAGTTTTAATCCTCACCTTTGTCTCTGTAAAGGTATCAAAGTGTGTCATCAGGAGGTGATGATGTCACTGAGAGGTGATGATGTCATCAGGAGGTGATGATGTCATCCTGACTTGATCTTCCTACAGAGAACTGCAGATGCTCGGGGTTCTTCATCATGGAACAAACCTTGTCACGCCTCACCAATCGCACTCCGATCACATGATACCGATGCGTCGTCAATCAACGAGCAGCAAAACACTCCTGAAGAACTTCAAGATGAAGGTCAGTGATTCAACGTGAGGAACATCATCAATGTTCACGATGACTCGTCAGAATTCATGTTGCAACAAAATGAGAAGAACAACACCTCCAAAGTGTGAAGAGGAGGAGATGAGGAAGATTACAGCAGAGGGAGGTCAGACAAGGTTAATTATGTAGTAAACCTGAGTGTGTGTGTGTGTGTGTGTGTGTGTGTGTGTGTGTGTGTGTGTGTGTGTGTGTTCACAGTACAGTAACGTCTCCTCAGGACACTCGTCAAGCTGTCCTAATGCGTCCCATTTGACCTCTGACCCCAATATCCCAACTATCAGCTGGCACACCTCTCACACACACACACACACACACATCTTGTGACACACATCTTGTGTGTGTGTGTGTGTGTGTGTGTGTGTGTGAGGCTCTGGCAGGCAGCACATATGGACTATTAGCATATGATATCTCCTCAGGATCTTCATCCTCACCTTGAATATATTTGTGTATATTGTGTGTGTGTGTGTGTGTGTGTGTGTAGTAAAAGTACTCAGAGTTCAGTCTGAGCTCAGATAAAGTTTTCCTCATCTGATTTTTTTCTTTGTCTGAATAATTTATGATCTTTTTGCTTCTTCAGCTCCGGCTTGTTGTTGCTGAGTGAAGTCCGTGACCTTCCTCTTCCTCTCTGGAATCCACTCTGGTCGTTTTGAGGTCATGTGACGACCTGTTGTTCTATTACCTGCAGCTTTCTGTCGCGTTGAGCGAGCTCTCTGATTGGCCAATGCCCCCCGTGTTACAGCGTCTACCCAGGTAGGTGGTGCTGGGGCCCAGCCACCGGTAGAAGACTTGCATTGTGGGTAATGTGTTGTAACGTGTCTGTCTGTGAGTCTCTTGTTTGTCCCCGAGAGGTCGACAGTGACCTCGTCACTCGCTCTTCTTCGTCTTTCAGGAGACCGAGCTGGAGCTGAGCGTGGACTTCCTGTCTGTCCCGGCACGTTGTCGTCCCCCTCAGAGACACGGAGACGTTTGGTGTTGTGTTACAACGTCACAGGGAGGTTAATAATTCATCACTGTGTCAATATGCAGCTGGTTTCAGTCTCAACTGCAAACTGACCCGTGGTAGTGAGACATTATCTGAATAGAGTGAATTGGATATTTATTCTAAAATCACAGATTGGGGAATTTATTTTACATTATTAATAATATTACATTATTTCATACACTCTGCACGCTATCTGCATATGACACTGTAAATGCTGTTTCATGATCTATTAGAGACCTGTCAATCAGTGTGTAGTCCCGCCCCAAAGCATCTCCTGCTTTATGGTCTGTTTGACTCTGCATGGAGCATAATTCACTAAATGAACATCATGTTGTATTGAAGGAGACTTGAGACCATAAACTCATGTTTACACGGTTTACTGAGGGAATGAATCCAGAGAGAAGTAGAGTCATACATCTGGTTCAGCTTCTGACTTCCTGAATCATCGATGTTGGTTTGGATCAATGAAGCCCCCCGCCCCCCGGGGTCATCGGGCTTGTGATGGGCCTCCTTGGCTCACTCAGACTGGATGTGGTTCTGTGGTTTGTATTTAACATCAGAGCGAGTGGGCGAGCACCAGCAGGGCCGAAAAGCTCTAAATGTTTCAGCGCCGACGCCAAAAACCAGGAAACAGTCTCATCCTTTATCTCTTTTTTTCATATTTCCATTCACTCCCCTTCACACTGCACACGTCACTTTAACTGTTATTTTTCACTTTGTCGTCACTCGTCACTTTGTTACTTGTCCGCTAGTGCACTTTATGCTTAGAATTTTTTTGCTTTTTTAATACTTTAAATGTTTAACTCTAACTTTATTCTCTTGTTTTATACTAACCCATAGCCTTATTCTACTAACCCATTGCATTAGCATTTTATTTTATTTTATTACTGGTTCACTGCTGTCTTGTTGTCTACTGTTACACTGTCTGCTGTCACGCACCAACCGCCAAGACAAATTCCTTGTATGTTTGACATATTTTGGCAATAAATGCTTCTTGATTCCTGATTCATCGGTTGTCTAAACATCAGTCACATCGTCGGCCTCCAACCACCTTTCTGCAATTAGGAGATATTTCTGTAGAAACAAACAAGAAATGCCGCCTGTGTTGCATCTTTAATTGATTGTTGATTGAAGAGCATTTCAGTCTAGACGTGTTTCATTCATTCTCCCATCAGGACTCTGCAGACCTGGACCTCATGGAGCCGATCCGCTCCGTGGACCTGAGCATTGAAAAGGAAACTTAACATGTTGCCAGCTTTTGATCACATTTTAGCATTATTTTATCAACTTAAAAAATGGTGTATTCATAACATTGTATTGTTTATTATTATTGTTATTCTTTTATCCAAATTCATTATGCTATTGTATGGTTCATTGATTCATTATTTTTCATTTTATTTAGGGCATATACTGTTATTCTATTACATTGTCATTCATTATATTTAAATTAAAACATTGCTCACGTTCAAGTTGTAACATGTAATTAATTAGTCATTGAATTAATTACTTATTTAGTATTTAAATTGTAACATTTTGTCCTAATTTAGTTGTGACATTTCATTATTTTTTGATTTACCAACTATTTGATTTGAAACATTTTATTATATCTTATCATTATTTTTCACATCAAATGTGAAAAACTTGATTTGTGACATTTATTTATATATTTACTCTTTTTGTCTTTTATTTATTCCATTGCTGCTGTCATAAAGGAACTTTCATGATTAACTCGTTTACTGTGATTTCAAAGTGACACAAAGTCCGCAACGTCAATGTTTGTGATTTTAAAATGCTGCATTGAGGCCTGAAGCCTTCCTCCAGCTGACTGAGGGTCCGCCTCCGTTACACGGTCAGTGGCTGTGATTGGCTGCCCGTGTGAGGGGGCGCGAGGGAGAGAGACACAGCGCTGCCATTGGCCGAGCCCTGTCAGTGGGCGGGGCCTAGCCGGTTGGAGGTGGGGGGTGTTCCTGCTGCGCTCAGCCTCATTCTTCTCGATGAGCTCAGCGGAGACGGACATTCGCTTTCCTCCGAGAAGACACCGGACTAACCCCGCTCCCTCAGCCCGGCAGGGTGCACCGTTCCCGGGGTGAAGAGCCGCGCGCAGACCCGGTCTCTCCCTCCGGAGCTCCGCAGCCCGTCTCGCTCCTCCTGCGCCGGGCTTCTCTCCTTCTGCTCGGGGAGGCGAGCGCTGTTTGAAGGACAGGGCTGCTAGTCTCGCGCACACGCACGCGTGCACACCTTGTGGATTGGAGGGCTCGTGCACTGGGTGGATTTGTGAATGGTGGTCCTGCACCTTTGTGGATTAAGACGCGGAGGAATCCGTGGAGTCCGCGATCAGGTGAGCGACGTTTACCGGCAACCGCCTCTGCTTCGCACCGTGTGCGCGCGCGCGTGTGTGCGTGTGCGTGTCACAGCTACATGTGACCCGAATGTTTGGTTCAACTAGCCGCTAAATCTCCCCTCCCTCACACACACGCACACACACACACACACGCACACGCACACACACGCGCGCACACACACGATGATTCCACGCAGGAGACTTGATGGAATTCCTCCAGGAGGCCGCGTTTAAGGTCGCAGTTGATGACCTACTTCCTCGTGGAAGCTGAGCTGCTCAGGTAGACGTGTAAGTGTCGAGCATCGTGGATGGAGGAGCGGTGCTATTCAACACAACATTTCTACACCTATATACTACATTTATAAATTACTTTTTGGGATAAAGATCAAGGCGGATCTCCTGGATCATCATCAGGGACGTGATTTGTGAATGATGGTTCAGGACGAGGGGACACCTGCATTGACCACAGCGCCGTTATTGATATTGATATTGATATTAATATTAATAAAGGACCCGGTTAGCTCGCTGGCTAACGAGCTAGTGCGACTATCAGAGGAACGAATGGTCGATGAACAAATCAATGAACTATTCGTGTCAGATCATATTTATCGATTTGAGGACTTGTGTTTTCTTTGGCTCCTGGTGGTCCATGTCTGAATGTGGTCCATGTCTGAATGTGGTCCTCAATGTGGTCCACGTCTGAATGTAGTCCTGAATGTGGTCCATGTCTCAATGTAGTCCTGAATGTGGTCCATGTCTCAATGTAGTCCTGAATGTGGTCCATGTCTGAATGTGGTCCCGAATGTATGGTCCGTGTCTGAATATAGTCCTGAATGTGGTCCACGTCTCCTCCAGCTGTTTGTGTCTGCAGAACAGGTCTGATTACCTCTCTCGTTGTGCTCTGTTTTTGGGCTCCTCCACCCTCCAGGGAAATGATGCCCGTATAAGCTCCAGTCTCTGAAGCTCCACCCGTTGGATGAAACACGGCGGTGTTCTCGGTATTGATCGTCTCATCGTTTCTGGGGCCTCTCTGTCTGGACGGACGGACTCCACGGAGCCCCCCCGTCCTGTGGAGGTGCTTTGCAGGGTTGATTATAGACGTACGTCTCTCTGAACTGGACCGGTTCATATCCTTGGGAAAGCTCATTTTTTGGCTCAGGAATAAGTTTAAACATTTAAGACTTTTAGTGTCGTTCTGTCACGGCAACTTCACACAAGTCCGTCCACGATTTAGACAAACCAAAAGGGCCCCACATGGAACCAGAGACAGAATGAGAATCCACTGCTGCATTCTGGGGGCTTCGTTGTTCCAGCTGATCCTCTAACGTCCGGCCCTGAAGCCGTTTGAGGTGACGTCGATACCACGATGGGAAATAGACATTAGAGATGAATTATGAGCCATTTAGCTTCTTCATTAAAACGTCTTTCATGAGATTTATTAATGAAGACACAGAGCAACAGGTTGACATTTAAGGTTTGACGTGCTTCACTTTCATCGATTGGCCTTTTGGTTAAAACGTGCGCTCTGAAGTGTGCGTCTGTGTGTGTTGTAACACATGTGAGTAGGCCTCTCGATCAATGGTCACCTGGATCAGCCCGCGTGAGCGTTGCCGTGGGCAACGGGCGGTGGAGCTGGGTATTAATTGTTAGGAGGGAGAAGACATCAAAGAAGCAGAGGATCAGGTTTGTGTGACTAAAGAGCTCGTGGTTCCGTTTGGCGTCGTTAGCGTTAATCACATGACGGAGCTGCGAGGTGAAGACGCTGAGAGGCCGGGATCATCGTTATCATTGTTAGTTCATTATTCCTGTCTCCGTGCGGGGAAAGGGAATGTTCTTCATAATGAAGTCGGCATCATTGTCTCAGGACGTTTAACATTGTGGTGGTGAAGCTGAAGCTCAAGCTGATGTTTGAGGAGTTTATGGAAGCTTTTTACATTATGGCATTTAGCTGACCTCTTATCCAAAGTGTCTTACGTTGCATTTTAACCCATGTTTTTTTACTTTTTGCCTGGGGAGCAGGTAGGGCTTGGCTGTCTTGCTCAGGGACACTTTGACGTGGGGTTTGGAACCGCCAACCTTGCGGTTCCTGGCGCCCCCGCTCTACTCCACGCGCCGCCTTTTCTGTCCTGTGATGCAGAAACAGAAGTTGTGGCATTCCACAAGGTTCTTTAGTGGGACTTCTGATTTATGGAGCTTTGTTTATATACAAAATTCAGGTAGATAATAAAATAGAAGGGAAAATGAATTTACCGGACTGAGCAAAAGTCCACGAGAGGTTGAGCTGTTGGTAAAAAGTAAAAAGCGTGACAGTAATCCATGAAGGCAACTATTTTACAGTACAAGTTGACTATGAACGTGTATTTCTACGTCATGCCTTTTATTGAGTCTTTCGAGCCGTGCATTGTAAAATTCATAATAATGATCCCACCATGTTTGAAGTGATTCTCGTTTCTTTTCCCTCCGACGACCTCCAGCAGGGTTTTAACTCCGTCTCTCTTTAACAAGCTTCCTGCTCTATTGTCGGCATTACAGCAAAGTGGACCTACCCATTAAGATATGGCTGATCAATATTTCAGCGCTGTATAATATTAATGTTACATGCTGTGCTGAGTGAGCCTTAGTGCACTCTGTAGCTCGGACGGGTTTATTCCGCCTCTGTTCACCTCCAACCTTTACCAGCATTTCACTTTTAGACTCCTCACTCCTCTAATTACAGACGCAAAAGTTCCCTTTGACTCCCACGTTCAGCGCTCGGCTGCCAAACGCCGTCCAGCCCCGAGCGCAGATCCTTCCCCGCCCAATGCACCACGACCTTCTGTCTCCGGTTCTCTTCTCATGTGTTTGCTTACAAAGAGACGTGTATAAAACAGCAACATCTTAACTCATTTATTCATGACAAAATATCACTCCATGTAATTCATATGTTCCTGTTTTTAATCTCCAGGCGTCAGACCGATTGATAATAAACAGAATTGGGAGCTATTATCTGCTGATTATGCTCTCCTCCTGCTCCTCCTCCTCTCTGCCTCCCCCTTCGTGCTAATGGTTTCTCCATTAACCCGACCTGATGGCAGTGTGGGTAATTACAGATTTATTCACGGCCCGTGGCCACACACAATAAGAGATAAATAACGTGTTTGACCAAGCAGAAAGGGCCATTAGCCACGTAGACACACTGTGACCTCTCCCTGTAATGGCCTCTGTAGCCAGAAGGTTCAGCGTCCTCCTGAACGGCCTCCTGTTGATGCTCCAACTCCAGGGAACTGTTTGAGAATGAAATTAAGGTTTATTTCCAGAGAGAATCCAGTTGACCTACCGTTACGTTTTACTTGTTAGCATCCCGCTGTTACCCACCAACAACCCCCTTGTGTGAAGAAGTGTTCCAGGACTCCAGGATCTTCTCCATGTCGTGTAAACGTCTGTGTGATGGAGCATGAACATTATGTTATCCTCCCGACGTGTACAAGAAGATTCTCCGCCAAAGTTCAGGAGGTCAACTGCACGTCACAGAAACCTGAGACACAAAACAAAGCTAACGTAGCTGCGTCTCTCTGTAGCTGCGCTGTTGTCTCTCTGTAGCTGCGCTGTTGTCTCTCTGTAGCTGCGCTGTTGTCTCTCTGTAGCTGCGCTGTTGTCTCTCTGTAGCTGCGCTGTTGTCTCTCTGTAGCTGCGCTGTTGTGTCTCTGTAGCTGCGCTGTTGTGTCTCTGTAGCTGCGCTGTTGCGTCTCATTGGAGCTGCGCTGTTGCGTCGCTCTGGAGCTGCCCTGTTGCGTCGCTCTGGAGCTGCGCTGTTGCGTCGCTCTGGAGCTGCGCTGTTGCGTCGCTCTGGAGCTGCGCTGTTGCGTCGCTCTGTAGCTGCGCTGTTGCGTCGCTCTGAAGTTGCTCTGTTGTGTCTCTGTAGCTGCGCTGTTGTGTCTCTCTGAAGCTGCGCTGTTGTGTCTCTCTGTAGCTGCGCTGTTGTGTCTCTCTGTAGCTGCGCTGTTGTGTCTCTCTGTAGCTGCGCTGTTGTGTCTCTGTAGCTGCGCCGGTGTGTCTCTCTGTAGCTGCGCTGTTGTCTCTCTGTAGCTGCGCCGTTGTGTCTCTCTGTAGCTGCGCCGTTGTGTCTCTCTGTAGCTGCGCCGTTGCGTCGCTCTGAAGCTGCGTCGCTCTGTAGCTGCGCTGTTGCGTCGCTCTGTAGCTGCGCCGTTGCGTCTCTCTGGGGCTGCGCCGTTGGGTGTCTCTAGCTGCGCCGTTGCGTCTCTCTGGGGCTGCGCTGTTGCGTCGCTCTGTAGCTGCGCCGTTGGGTGTCTCTAGCTGCACCGTTGCGTCTCTCTGGGGCTGCGCCGTTGTGGCTGTGAGTGGGTGACGCTCATTACCTGCTAACCTTTTTTAACTTTTCCTCTGTTAACTTTTCTTTTCTTTCCTAAAGATTATGTCTGAGAATAAAGTAATGTAGCTTTTTTCTTTGGGAATGTCTCTCATTGAACGCATTGACGATTTGTCTCCAGATTGAAGCAGCTCAGGGATCCTGTGGTCTTTAGACAGGACATGGAGATCTATTCATGCTCCTCAGGTCTGAAGACAGAAGGTCCTTTTGAGTCGACAGTGTTCTATTTGTAGACCACAGAATGGAGCGGTCTTTTTATTATTTATTTTTTTAAATGCTCCCAGAACCAGAGACTCATTTCTTGCTCTATGTCTGATGTGCAGTAAATCAGTGTCCTCTGCCTCTCTACAGTTCAAGTTCCAAACTTTCCTCTTATCCAATTTTCCGAAGATCAAGATTTCCCTGTTTGCGTGTCAGTAGCTGGTCTCGTCCTGATCCAGACCACAAAGACCCCTGCGGGTCTGCTGCTGATGATCCCTCTGGAGCTCTGATGGATTTCACGTCCGATCGGTTTGTCACATTCATGCTGAGGATGGAACGATGAGTCTGTTTATGGCTCGTTTATACGTCTTCAATTTAGATTTACGGTCAGTCGGTAAAATGTCCGCTGATGGGAGTTTTAGTGTTATTTTTTCATCATGAGTTTGTGTAAAGAGCGTTTTTGTGGGTTTTTATGACCAGCTGGACCTTTGAGGGATATATATATATAATTTCCATATTTGTAAATTTGACTTTTTGTCAAACAATAAGAGAGACACTTCCTTACAATCCTCCATTTAGATGTTCATATTAATTGGTCAACATCAAACTCCAGCAAAGACACCACCATAACAGCCGAGAGGCCTCTGGACGTTTGTGTGAAAATTCTGCGTCTCTTTGTAGCCCTTCTGGGATCCTTCCTGTTATCACTTTAGATCTTTATGTAGCCTTTCAGTATCTTTCTTGAGGTTTTATTTCTCCGTATCTATTATCTCAGTTTTCTTCTGTTTTGTTGCAGTTCTATGTCCTTTTTACCAATCATGTGTCTCTTTGGAACCGGTTTGTCTCTGTTGATGATAATGTTGTTGTCCTGCGTCTCTCTTGCCAGATTGTGTCTCTCTGTAGCTCTTTTCTACTGTATCGTTATGTTCACTTGACTTGCTCATTATGGTTTCTCCTCTGGAGAACATGAATGACATCAAATGTCACAACTGGAAATATGTCACTTAGAGATGGAACAGTCTGAACGGGTGTTTGTGATTTACCTGGGCGCTCGCTGGCTGCCGCTTTGTGTGAGAAAGGTGTTGAGGTCTTGGTTGAATCTGAGCAGCAGCAGGATGAAGCCTGACCCTCCTCCTCCTCCTCCTCCTCCTGATCCCAAGCAGAGCCGCTGCAGGTGGGAGGCCGGCTGGGATTTGACGCCTGTTATAGAGCATCCTGCTGTTCCTGGTTTCTCTGGAGCATGAAAGACTCACAATGTGTTTTTGGACTCACTAACTGGTTTATCTTATGTGTGCAATATGACAAAAAAGGTGCACCGGAACGAGGATGGAATAATAATTGATGTCTCTACCTGGATGACGTTGCTGCGTCTTCTTGTTTTTATGTCATCAGTGTGTTGCATTAACTCTGAGAGATTATGGTCAGTAATGAGTGAAATGAAAACGGCTGCTGAAGACTTCAAAACCCAAATGAAGCAGAAGGTAACCTACAGGTTTATGATCTTGGTGTGTCCGACCATGAGGTGGTCTCAATGGCCTTGACTTTCACGCTGCCTACTGTTAGACCTCAAATCAAATGTCATTCTGGAACTGGACAAGCATTGACTCAGTGGCTATGACCATGGACCTCCAGGTCATCACCTGTCTCTGCAGCAATGGATGAATTAGTGGAACTGATACAATATCCCTGAGCAGTGTTTTAGATCTCCATGGCCACGTCAAGTCACGTGAGGTCAATTTCAATTTCTCGCTCCCTGGTTCACACCTCTGGAAAATAAAAACAGCTGGGCGTGTCCTGGAACGACGCTGCAGACACTCAGGGCTCATTGTCCATAAACTGGCTTTCCGAGAGCATCGGAGGTTCCACTCCAACGCTCTTAAAGGGGCTCGCTCACACCTCTATTCCAGCCAATCAACAAAACCCTGGCAACTCTAGACAGCTTTTTTCCACTATAAACCATCTCCTGGGGCCCACAACCCTCCTTTTCAACTGACGCTACAGAGACCCCGAGGTTCTAGCCAACTACGTTACATTACAGGTCATTTAGCTGACGCTTAGCGACTTAAATTACATTTTTAACCCGTGGCTTTTTACATTATTGCCCGGGGAGCAATTAGGGGTTAGGTGTCTTGCTCAGGGACACTTCGACATGCGGCAGCCGGTACTCCAACCACCAGCCTTGTGGTTTCCAGCGCACCCTCTCTACCCTTGCGCCATGTCCCACGATCTCCAACCTTGTCTTCCTGCCCAAGGTGCAAGAGAAGGTAGTTGCTTCTCAACTTCTGGACCACCTCAAGAACAACAACTTTCAGTCAGGATTCCGTTCAGCTCACAGCACGGAAACCGCTTTTGCTCAGCGTGACGAATGACCTGCTGATGACTGGATGCTGGATCACCCTCACTTCTCATCCTCCTGGACCTGACTGCTGCATTTGATACAGTGGATCACACTATCCTGCTCGAGCGCCTCCACACCACCATTGGACCATCAGACTGTGCACTCGAGTGGTTTCTGTCCAACCTTTCTGGCAGAACTGGGAAGTAACCTACATGCTCCCCATCGGCCGTGTCATCAGCAAACATGGAATGTCCTTTCACTGTTATGCGGACGATACACAGCTCTACATCATGACTGCCCCAAGCCCGTCTGCAGCCTTGTCATGTCTCACCGCTTGTCTTAAAGGACATAAAGGCATTGATGAGCAACAACTTTCTCCAACTAAAACGGTTCCAAAACCGAAGCCTTCTGGTTGGCACTCCACACCAGGTTCAGTCATCCTTCATCACCTTTGACGGTCCGGTCATACCCCTCTCCTCCAGTTACCTATCTGGGAGTTGGGTTTGGCCCTCACCTGTCTTTAATGACCAAATCAAATACCGGTGCAAAACCTTGTATCCTCTCAAAGACATCTCCAAACTCTGCCCACTTTGACCCTGTCAGATGCAGAGAAGCTTGTCCAATGCTTTTATCTCCTCAAGACTACTGTAATTCACTCTTCACTGGAATCAGTGGCAAAAATATCCAGCAGGGGGCGACTCGAGAAAATCACTACTTCTCTCTTGATTTATTCCCTCAGTAAACATTGTAAACATGAGTTTATGGTTTCAAGTCTTCTCCAATACAGCATGATGTTCATTTAGTAGATTATGGTCCATGTGGAGTCAAACCTCCATCATGAGGACATTAAGTGACCAAGAGAACATCTGGACAGAAGCAGATGTTCAGAGAAAAGACCATCTGAGGAATGTACAGTTGCTGGGTAGCGGCTCCTCTCCAGGTCTCTTCACCCTTTGATCAGGTGGTTATTTCCTCTCCGTCCTCTTTGTGTCCCGTTGCTTTGAAGAGTCCTGCATCAGAGTGCTGAGGACCAGACTTCTTCAAGCTGCTCTTTGTGTTGCTGAAGTCTGCTCTTTCATTATTTCACACCCAGCTGTTGGCGTGGAGATGAAGCTGCAGTTTGGATGCGACGAGTATTCAGATGTTCAGTGTGTAAATGGATTTATTTGGAGCTACATGGTGTAACTTTAAATGACATTTGACTGTATAATAAGAATCGTTGTTCGTCCTTCATGTGCTAAGTGATGATTCTGCTCCCTCTCACCGTGAAGAGGACAGACACTGTCCTCGGTCTCACACGTCCCTTCTCTCAGAGAGACATGAGGACACTGAGATAAAACTGCTCATTTCCCAGATGTCTGTCTTCATAATTGTCGTTACTGCTGTGAGAAGGAGAACCAGATGCTGATCTGACATGCATGTGAATGAATGCGACTCCTAGAAGACACGAGGAGGAGGACAGACTCTCACCGTGGGTGGGGCCGCCCCCCCCACGTTGTTGGGCTTTAATGGCTGCTGTTGTTTCACACTCTGATCCTATACAGCCTTCAGAGAGCTGTTAGCACACAAACCGCTTAGATCTCCTGCAGCACACACGCACACGCACGCACGCACACGCACACACACGCACACACGCACACGCACACTCTTCTGGGTGGATGAGGATTAGGGGGGGGGGGGGTGCAGCCTTCTCCTGGTTCTTGTGGATCGGCGTCACGTCGTGTTTCTGCTGGGCTGCAGAGACGAGCTGCCATCTGGACTCTGAAGACAAGCCTCTCTTTTAGTTCAGGTTCTGCCCCCCCCCCCCACAAACACCCCCCCCACACCCCCCAGAGTCTCACTACTCTGTAATGAGCTCCGCCTGCAGACAGTGACGGGTTTTACTCACCAACAGTCAGTGTTTATCTCAGCATCTTTTATCTTCTATTCTTTAAAGCTTTTCTCCTTCAGCTCATCTCAAACGTCCCAATGACTCATCAGAGAAACCACATGACCAGAAGAACTTTATCTCAACCGATATCGTGTTATTCTGTTATGTTCTGTTATGTTATTCTCCACGCAGAACATGGTTTAGTAATCAAGAGAAATAAAAACGCAAAGAAACATCTACTTCGACTCATTGTTCATCATGCAGAAGATTGCCTGAAGGAGTAGCTGGTCCTGTGTCTGCAGGTTCTGGAAATCCTGGTGGGTTTTTGCAATCCTGCTAGTTTTGGTGGTCCTGCTGGTTCTGGTGGTCCTGCTGGTACTGGTGGGCTTTAGTGGGTATTGGTGGTCCTGCTGGTTCTGGTGGGCTTCAGTGGGTTCTGGTGGTCCTGCTGGGTTTTGGTGGTCCTGCTGGGTTTTGGTGGTCCTGCTGGTACTGGTGGGCTCTGGTTGGTTCTCCAGGAAACCTTTCAGCTCTACTTCTTGGCCGCTAACGTTGCTGTGAAATCCTGAGAGGTTCGCAGGCGTCTGGAAATAGCTCACGTTATGAAACACTGTGTTGGGGTGGAGCGGAGAGGATAGTGAGAGAGGCGGCGATGATGGAGATGAGATTATCTCTGCATCGGGGACCATTGGAAAAGGTATGGGAGATGAGAGCTGAGCATATGTATACATGAAGGTTTATCATTTTTTTTAAAGCTCAAACAGGATTATTGTGTCTGTTCATGAAGCACATTTTAGTTTTGTTATTCGAACAATAGACTGATCAGTTCTCGTTGCACCTTGTTGAGTTGACGCCTTTTTACTCATTAAAAAAACACTTTAATCTTTAATTCGTTCTTATGGTTTGTGTTTTAACCTGTCAGTAGTCATGTTTCACATGTTGTACATTGATTGAGTTCATTTGTATGAGAGAATACTTCCTGTGTGGTTTCTGTACATCTCTGCTGTCGCGTCCTGAGGCGAGATGTTCTCCTGTGGTCACCAGTCATACAATGACTCCATGTAACAATTAACACGTGAAGAATCAGATGTGTGTAGACATGACAGGGCAGAGCAGTTTGATTGACAGCTCCCCCCTCTCATTCCTGTCCTCATGTCCGTCCACAGGCGGGATCTCCTCCTCTGGGTCCACACCTGAGGGTCTGGTGAGACACACACACACACGCACACACACACACGCTGAAGGTCATGTCATGTGACGTGTGTGTTCTTAATGAGCTGGTGTTCCCAGCAGGGGGGAGGAGGAGAAGCCGGAATATTAGGTCATTATTTCAGTTTCCTGCATTGCTGATGAACTTCATCTTGTATGTATTTATTATTTCAATTTTGGGATTTAGAGGAGAAAACATAGAAGATATTCATCCAAATATTAAATATGTGTAGGGACACGTGATGTGTTCAAGGACCGTGGGAACGAGAGCAGGAGGCGCAGCAGTAAACTCCTCCTCTGGACTCCTTCTAGGTCGTCTCCCTCTGTGGAGCACTAGGTCTTGACCTCTGACCCCGTAACCAGGAGGCAGGTGTGAAGTCCTCTGGAGGTCGGTCACATGGTCGTCTCACAGCAGCTCAGAGAAAGCAGTGGAAGGTGTCCTTGACCTCGTGACCTCGGCGTGGTTTCCTCTCCGAGGAGAACTTCACACTCTTCAATGTGAACCCTTTACTTCTATTAGAGCCTCATTGGAGCAAAGCCTCATGGGAAATGTGGTTTTAGGCCAGAGTCTCCGATGTTTGTTGTCTTTTTTAGTGTTTTTCAGTCATTTCCACGTAATTTGCTATGTGAGAAAATGTTTCCTTCATCAGCAGAATGAAGACGCTTAAAACAAACGTTTCAGTAACACAAATATAGGATTTGACTTTTAAAAGGCTCCGTGATTAAAACAGGAGTATTTTTATTAAACAAAGGTTGGGACTGTTTTCAGCGGCTGATGGATCCCTCGGGCCTCTCGTGAGTAGTTATGGATTTTTATGCAAACATGATACTCGTTACCTCGGTGAACATCTGGCGGTGAGGAGCTGGAACGTAGCTTCATCAGATCCATTGACTCTGTGAAGCTTCAGGAGAACTTCCACCTGAGCTCATTCTCCACCGATCCTGCTGGCGGAGAACAAGCTTGAAGAGAGAATCCAGGTCCTAGTGCCCCCCCCCCTCCGCCCCCCCAGGGGGCCCGATCGCCTTGCTGATCAGCTCAGGCATGAGGCGTCTCCGACCGGCCTGGTCTCTGTGCTCTAAAATCACTGTCCCCCCCTCACCCCTCCCTCACCCCCCCTCACCCGGGCCCTTTGTCCATGTGGAACTTATCTTCAGGCCTCCGGGTGCAGCAGTGATGAAGGTGTTTGATTACAGCGAGGAGGGGGAGGAGTTACCGGCCCGTCAGGGTCCTTCATCTGGAGCAGCTCATCCTGGTCGGTCGCAGGGACACCAAACATCTTTATTTCATTCAATGAAAACGCAGAATTTAAAGGCTTCTGTCGGTACGTTGATGTACAGAAACCGAATGTATGAATATGAACAACATCTGATCCACGGAGGTTCTCCTCAGGCCTTCAACCCGCCACACTGCTGAGAAGGAACGTGAACAAAGCTCCTCTGTTGTTTCCACCGCATGTAAGGTGACACCTCCCCCTCCACTCCTCCACCTCCCCTCCTCCACCTCCCCTCTCTGACGGATCGGAACTCGTTCCACCTTAAAAAAGGCCTGGGGGGGGGGAGGGGCAGGGGAGCGGGGGCTGAAATCAGAGCCGGAGCCAGAGGTGATTTACGCCGTGTTTGTGCACGGAGAAGTGGGAGGAGGAGGAATGTGGAGGAGGAGGAGGAAGGTGGTAGGAGAAGTGGGAGGAGGAAGGTGGAGGAGGAAGGTAGGAGAAGTGGGAGGAGGAGGAATGTGGAGGAGGAGGAGGAAGGTAGGAGAAGTGGGAGGAGGAAGGTGGAGGAGGAAGGTAGGAGAAGTGGGAGGAGGAGGAAGGTGGAGGAGGAAGAAGGTAGGAGAAGTGGGAGGAGGAGGAAGGTGGAGGAGGAAGAAGGTAGGAGAAGTGGGAGGAGGAGGAAGGTGGAGGAGGAAGAAAGTAGGAGAAGTGGGAGGAGGAAGGTGGAGGAGGAGGAAGGTAGGAGCAGGAAGGTGGAGGAGGAGGAAGGTGGAGTAGGAGGAGGAAGGAGGAGGAGGAGCATTAAGAGGTAACAAGAGGTTGAAGAATTGGGACATACGTCCTTCAGAGAAGAGCTCTGGAGCTTTATTGGAGCTGGAGAGGTCTGGAGGAGGAGGAGAGGGAGGAGGAGCTGAGACTTGTAGATCACATCACATGGAATTTATCTGACGCTTTTATCCAAAGCGACTTACAATAAGAATATTTCAACCATAAGGACACAAACTCAGAAGAACAAGAAACAAGAAAGTGTGATTTCATCAAATAAGCCAGTTTACAACTCGCTGTAGATAAGAACCATTGTCAGTCCAGTGTTCGTGCTACAGTCGTACCTGTAGGTTGGACTCCAGGACAAAGGTCTCTGCTGCTCACTTTGTACCAAAGCAGCAGCAGCTCCGTTGAACCTGCGTCGCAGTGGCTGCTGGGAAATTGAAAAAAAGAAAAGGTTGACCCGGGTCACAAAGCCTCTAATCCCACCGTGGCTTAGTCTGATAAATGACAGACACTGGAGGCTCAGCCCTCCTCCCCCAGCAGGCCAGTCTTCTGGGTCAGACACCATGAGTCTTTGTCTCATATCATCCACTGTACCTTAATGCTACGAGGCCTCAAGAAGTGACCTGTAAAGTTAATTTATTCTATTCTGAAATGCATTTATTAATATTATTTAACTTATTATTAATTATTAATGAACTATTCAAAGAAAAAAAATCACTAATTCTATCTGATAAACTCACAGCACAGAATTTTTCATAATGTTGTAAAATCCCAGATTATTTAGTGCTCTGTATTTAAGAAGAGGGTGTTGTCATGGTGACGTCTCCTTTGATTTTGGAAGTCTTGACGTTTTTTTGCGACCAGTGAAGAGGAAGTGACCTCATACGGCTGAGGAGGAAGTAGAGACTGTGACTGGATTCAAATTTTCCAAAAAGTGACGACCTAACTCTGTTCCTAACCACTATTCCTTGACCTCTGTGTAGAAGGTCACAGGGTCACAGAAAGGTGGTTGGGGGAGTTGGTGAGGAGGAAAAGACCAGTCTGGGTTTAGGGGCTCGACTCCACTGAGCTGCGTAGTTGTGATGGACGGAGACGCTTGTTGGTGACGTCAGTCTGCAAAGACGCGTCTCAGATGCTTCATGTGTTGTTGAGTCATACAGACGTCATGGTCGATGTTTCAGACCAATGACACGTCACTATTTAAACATCGCTGCTGGGACAGAATGATGTTCTTTCCTCTGCTAACGAAGTAAGGAAGCATGGAGGGCTGCGCCACAGGGTTACATACAAAGTCCGTGCACAGACGCGGTGACGCAAATCTGCGATTGCTGCGTTTTGGCGCTTGACGCGCTGCTCAAACGCGAAAGTTGAAATATTCCATCTTCGGGGGCCGCGATGGCAGCGGCTCGTGCTTGAGCTCACGATGTCTCTCCGTGGAACAGTTCCCTCGTATGATGTGAAGGCGGTGAAGTCTGGCTAACGGCTAGCGCCATGTCATCCAGACGCAGTTCACCGAGCTGTCGGCGTCTACGGACGCTATTTAGTACAAAAACACGACTGTTTGGTGGTCCGACGCAAGTAGAACTTCCACACCAAGTACAGAGCCGCGCTCGATGCGAGGGGAAAACAATGGCGGGAAGCTGATCTGTTTCAGGGTGATAAACTCCGCCGCGTCTGGCGCGAATACGCGATACACGCAAATTGACCGCAAATGTACATCGAGAGTCCTGCGGCGCATTTAAGGCGACGCGACACATTCGGTGTGTACAAATACATGTGATCCGCAAATACAAATCATAAAGTTGTGTGCATTTGTAAATTGAATACGTTTGAATTGTTCAGTGTGTATTTGTGAGTAGTCGTGTGCGCATTTGTAATTATTTCTGACCCCATAGAGAAGCACCAACACAACTTGTGCCCAAGAGAGGACATGAGTCTGTTTGGAGGTTGTGTGAGTTACGTTGGATCAGAAAATGATTTATTGCAAAGTCTGTCGAGCCCTGGTGGCAACACTAGCAGCCACAACAAGCTAACACGCTAACTAGCTAACGAACTGACACGCAAACTAGCTAACGAACTGACACGCCAACTAGCTAACGAACTGACACGCCAACTAGCTAACGAACTGACACGCCAACTAGCTAACGAACTGGCACGCCAACTAGCTAACGAACTGACACGCCAACTAGCTAACGAACTGACACGCCAACTAGCTAACGAACTGGCACGCCAACTAGCTAACGAACTGACACGCCAACTAGCTAACGAACTGACACGCCAACTAGCTAACGAACTGGCACGCCAACTAGCTAACGAACTGGCACGCCAACTAGCTAACGAACTGACACGCCAACTAGCTAACTCCCCGGCCAGTTGCGAGCAAGTTGGCCGAGCGGTGAGCAGTTGTTCGGGTAGCCAGTGGTCTTTTAAATAAGAATAAGGCTCTGAGTCTGTTTATTTCCTTGCGAGGGGAAAAAGGTCACAGAGGAGTCGCCCCCTGCTGGTCACCACAGAGAATGCAGCCTGTCTCTTGTAAATGTGTGTGTGTGTGTGTCAGAGAGCAGGTGGAGTTGATTACTTTCCTCTCTATCTCCTCTAATGCAGGAAGCTCCATCCTCCTTCAGCACCGTCTCTGTGCGATTAGCTCGGCGCTAAAAAGCCTCCTCAGCCTGAAATGGGGCGTGCGTCCCGGCCCCCTGCCGCTCTGCGTTCTGCTCATGATGATTCCATCAGGACCGAGGGCTCTGCAGGACTAAAGCCATCGATACGCCGATCGAGGCTTTTGCCTCCTGTATACATATGGAAGCAGAGTTTCAGTCAAAGTGATCAGATCGGATCACCCAGGGCATCACAGTTTCACTCTGAATTAAATCTCTGCTACAGAATCTATTGAAAGTAAACCGATTCTCTCTGGCATATAAGAGAAATGTTCCAACTTGGAGCTTCGTTTTGGTTTGTTTTTCTGATCGAGTCTCTTTACACGTGGTGGTCGGTGATGACGCAGCGTCTGGCTCTTTGCTCATTGGTTTGTTGGGGGGGGGGGGGGGGTCACAGGGTTGAACCGGGGATTTGACTTGCTTATTTGTAGCATGTCAGGCTTTTTGTGCTGACCAGCTGCATTAGAGACCGTTACTTACTTGCTCTCTGCTGCACAACTCTTCTTTAATTCTGCGGCTTCTGCAGCTCTCTCCTGTCGTCCTGATGGGCCTCCTCCTCCTGTCTTCACCTTCTTTGTTCCCTCGTTTATCTTTGGTCCATCCTCATCTGCATTGTTATCTCTACTTCCAAGCTTCTCCTTATCTCTCCTCCGGTTTTAGCTCCCGTCTCAGCACCTTTCATTGCTCTTAACGACATGCAGCACATACATCAGCCTCGCTAATTAACTCATAAATCATCTCCCAGCTCTCGGAACCTTCAACCCTCCAGCAGAGCGTTTGTCCTGCTCTCACTTCGACCCACGTGTAGCGGCAGACGACCACGAGCCACTTCTTTGCTTCTCCGCTGTGAGATCATCAGCTGCTCTATTATTCATTCATTCACTTCATCAAGGTCAAATCAGTTCATACGGCTTGTTGTTGGAAAAACTGCAATAATGTTCCACCTTCGTACGACAGAGATGATGTTTGTGCGTCGATGTTTATGATCTCGTATGTCTGGCCGATCAACACGTCTTTAGGGGGGGTGTTGCAGTTGTTGTGGCCCGACCGGCGGGGTGGGGGCCAGTAGTTGAAACTGAGTTGAAACTTTTAAACGAAAGAAAATGTCTTTCTGTGTTGCGACCCGGTGCTGCGCTACTGGATTGAGATGTGGTGATTTTATATTTTTATTTTTATTTTTTATATATATGTATGTATGTATATGTATATATGTATGTGTATGTATGTATATGTATATATGTATGTGTATGTATGTATATGTATATATGTATATATGTATGTGTATGTATGTATATGTATATATATATATATTGACTCTAAGACACACAGACAGATCTCTAGTGTCTCTAAAGAAGAACATTATTGATCCAGGTGTGTTCATAAACGGTATCTGCAGTGTGACTTGACTCGTGTTTTTCTCCCTTACAGACAAAACGATGCTGCAGGACCCCGATGAGGGACTGAGCCCGACCTGAACCCCCCCTTCCCTTTCCCCTCCCCCCGCCCCCCCCACCATGAACCTGCTCTGCCGCGGCCGTCTGAAGCTGCTGGTGGCCTCCCTCACGGCCGTGGTGCTGCTCACCTGGCTCTACCTCCTGGCTGGGAACCTGGAGAGTGAGTACAGGGGGGGCTGGTTTCCCCCCCCCCCCCCACGATTATCTTCAATTATTAAACACAAGGAGATTATTCTGTTTGGTTCCGACGTCTCACGGAAGTCAGCACTTTCTGTTTGGATCTCAGCCGTAGGGTTCGGTTTCCTGGAAGAGCTGTTATGAGACACACACACGCACACACACATACACACACACGCACACACACACACACACATACACACACACGCACACACACACACATACACACACACGCACACACACACATACACACACACACACGCGCACACACACGCACATACGTTTTAGGCCTGCAGTGAATCTTTGAAACTAGAGCAGGAAAATCTAACTCCATTCTGAGCAGCAGCACATTGCGTCAGAAATAACCAGTCCGTCTGTCTCTGTCTCACTGTCCGTCTGTATCTCTCACTGTCCGTCTGTCTCACTGTCCGTCTGTATCTCTCACTGTCCGTCTGTCTCACTGTCCGTCTGTATCTCTCACTGTCCGTCTGTCTCACTGTCCGTCTGTATCTCTCACTGTCTCTCTGTCTCACTGTCCGTCTGTGTCTCTCACTGTCCTCTCTGTCTCACTGTCCGTCTGTATCTCTCACTGTCTCTCTGTCTCACTGTCCGTCTGTGTCTCTCACTGTCTCTCTGTCTCACTGTCCGTCTGTCTCACTGTCCGTCTGTGTCTCTCACTGTCTCACTGTCCGTCTGTCTCTGTCTCACTGTCAGTCTGTCAAGTCAATTCATTTTATTTTGTAGAGCCCAAGATCGCAAATTACAAATTTGCCTCAGAGGGCTTTACAGTCTGTACACATACAACATCCTCTGCCCCGAAACCCTCCATCGGCACAGGAACAACTCCCCAAAAAATGAAAAAAACCCTTACAAGAGGGAAAAAAGGGAAGTCTGTCTCACTGTCCGTCTGTCTCTGTCTCACTGTCCTTCTGTCTCTCTGTTCATCCACTTCAGATGAGTGTGTTGTCGTCCCACTCGGCCTCCTTTCACCCCCAAATTAGGTTGTGAACATTCCCAACATGCCTCACTTCAGCTGCTCCGACAGTCGGACAGAAAAGAAGCAGACGATAAAACTGCCATTTAATAATGAGGAGGCACAGTTGTTTCTGTTGGGTGACTTTTAGAAGAAGCGTCACACAACAACAACAACAACAACAACAACCGTGATGCACATTCAGGGAAATATCTCTGTGCTGCGTTCAGGGAACCAGCGGTTGCGTTGTTAAAGTCAGCGTTAAGTTAACAGCTTTTGTGACTCTGACTCAAAGAGTCCAGTTCTTCCATCTGACGCCATCAGCGGCAATATGCTGATGCATTCTGGGAATATCCACGGTCACCGGACATGTGCTTCCAGAGTAGGTTTGTTTAGTTGAATTGGTGTGAACATGCTGCTGTGGTGCCCGAAGGCGTCTTCCAGTCGGTACCAGTGAGTCCGAGTGTTTGATCCCCACAGACGGGCGCGCCCTCCTGCTGGCGCCCTGCCTGGCCGGCACCCCGGCGGCCCGGCTGCCGGACCGGGCGGCGCTGGAGTCCAGGGTTCGAGAGGTGGAGGAGGAGAACCGGAGGATCCGGCTGCAGCTCAGCCAATCGCAGGGGCCGGCCAACCAGCCGGCGGACGGTAACTATGGCAACCAGCAGTGGGGCGCCTCGGCGGACACGGGGCCGGAGGACGGGGACAACACGGCGGAGGAGAGGAACAACCACACCGAGTGTCCTCGCTCGCCCTCCGTGCAGAAGTGTGAGGTCAGCAGACGACGAGGAGAAAGCGCTTTCCCTCTGTCGTCTCCATGACGACGCAGAAGAAGCTGCTGATTCGCTGTCTTGTCTCCTCAGCTCATCCACGTGGCGTGTGTTTGTGCCGGTCACAACGCCAGCAGAGACGTGGTGACGCTAGTGAAGTCCGTCCTCTTCCACAGGTGAGCCTGTCTGTCTGTGACCAGAGCAGCGAGATGAAACGGCTTGTGTGTGTTATTTTCCATAAGCTGACTTTTGTTTTTTTAATCCTAAATGTAAGACTTTAATCTCTTGGTATTGTGAATATTACTCTGATCTCTGTTTTCACGCTGGAGACCCATCCGTCATATTTGTGATGATTGCTCTGAACTCTGAGGATTTACACGATTTGTTCCTTCTCATATTTGTTCCTAGAGATTTGCAGTATTTGACCTTTCGTTTGATTGGTTTCAGAGTGGATGGAGTTTTGTTTTAACATTAAACTGAACGTGTGAGTACTTTGCTGGTAGGTCCGACAGCGGGTTTAAGGTGGGACCAGACCTTGAATTTGCCCACCAGGTGGACTTTCCTCCCCCAGGAGGAACCTCTCTCCAACGTCTTCTTTCCTTTCCTCAGGAGGAATCCTCTCCACTTTCACTTCATCACAGACACGGTGGCCCATCGTATCCTGAGGACCCTGTTTCAGTCCTGGATGGTCCCGTCTGTGCAGGTCAGCTTCTACGATGCAGACGAACTCAAGGTACGCAAGTTCTGCTTCTACTCGCTCTGCTAGGACTGGTAGCATGCAAAGGTCTCTATGAGGACTCTTAAGACCCTCCTCGGACTCCATTAGACCTAAATCCACCGATACGGTGCAGACAAGCAGCAGGGACCAAAAGGCACCAGGGCAGGAAGTGAAGCAGACCTGGGACGTCAGACGCAGAAAAATACAAAATATAGGGAGGACAAGCCAACACGTCCCTCTGGGAGGACTCTCTGTAGGACGAGTGAAAGCCTGATGCATCAAAGAGAATCCTCAATGGGAGAATCCTCAATGCTGGAAGGTCACAGTGTCTTTGTGAATCCGCCACATGGTCCGTGACGACGAGATCAGAGGGTTGGTTGACGTGCGGTTGGTTGACGTGCGGTTGGTTGACGTGCGGTTGATTGGCGCGGTTTGTGGGTTGGTTGGCGCGGTTTGTTGGGTTGGTTGGCGCGGTTTGTTGGGTTGGTTGGCGCGGCTGGTTGGCGCGGTTTGTTGGGTTGGTTGGCACGATTGGTTGGCGCGGTTTGTTGGGTTGGTTGGCACGATTGGTTGGCGCGGTTTGTTGGGTTGGTTGGCGCGGTTTGTTGGGTTGGTTGGCGCGGCTGGTTGGCGCGGCTGGTTGGCGCGGCTGGTTGGTTGGCACGGTTGGTTGGCGCGGTTTGTTGGGTTGGTTGGCACGGTTGGTTGGCGCGGTTTGTTGGGTTGGTTGGCGCGGTTGGTTCGACGAGCTGAATCCCAGAAGTTTGCACTTGACAGCAACAATCTGAAAGCAGGTCGGACAAGCATCTTCTCCTGAACGTCAGCACTTCAGGACAATGTTTGTGGAGGAGAAGGTGATAATGTGGGTGTGGTGGGACATGAGGGCGGAGGAGAAGGGGATGCTGAGGTGGAGGTGGACCTGAAGGAGGTTAGAGGAGGAGAAGGGGATGCTGAGGTGGAGGTGGGACCTGAAGGAGGTTAGAGGAGGAGAAGGGGATGCTGAGGTGGAGGTTGGACCTGAAGGAGGTTAGCGGAGGAGAAGGGGATGCCCAGGTGGAGGTTGGACCTGAAGGAGGTTAGAGGAGGAGAAGGGGATGCTGAGATGGAGGTGGGACCTGAAGGAGGTTAGAGGAGGAGAAGGGGATGCCCAGGTGGAGGTGGGACCTGAAGGAGGTTAGCGGAGGAGAAAGGGATGCCCAGGTGGAGGTGGGACCTGAAGGAGGTTAGCGGAGGAGAAAGGGGATGCTGAGGAGGAGAAGGGGATGCCCAGGTGGAGGTTGGACCTGAAGGAGGTTAGCGGAGGAGAAGGGGATGCTGAGGTGGATGTTGGACCTGAAGGAGGTTAGCGGAGGAGAAGGGGATGCTGAGGAGGAGAAGGGGATGCCCAGGTGGAGGTTGGACCTGAAGGAGGTTAGCGGAGGAGAAGGGGATGCTCAGGTGGAGGTTGGACCTGAAGGAGGTTAGAGGAGGAGAAGGGGATGCTGAGGTGGATGTTGGACCTGAGGACTTCTGGTTCTGCTCTCAGTCCGAGGTCTCGTGGATCCCCAACAAACACTACTCGGGTATCTACGGCCTGATGAAGCTCACGCTGACCAAAGCTCTGCCCGCCGACCTCTCCAAGGTCATCGTCCTGGACACGGACATCACCTTCGCCACCGACATCGCCGAGCTGTGGGGCATCTTCAGGAAGTTCACCGGTGAGATCTCAGTCTGATCTATTGTCAAACGTAGGTTTTTATTAAGGATCATAGTGTGTGTGGGAGGGTCGTGATAATAATAATTATTCAAATTGATCGGATGGGTTTGTTGAAATGTTTGATGGAATAAATAAATGGATAAAAGCCGTTAATGCAACAAATATGATCAATGTTCGTTTAAATTTCATCTCTTTTTCATTTCGTATTTAATTAGCGTGTAAGTGTTAGAACTTAAGATCTCACATCTCACGGTATCTTCTGGTTGCCACTGACAGACAAGCAGGTGATCGGCCTGGTGGAGAACCAGAGCGACTGGTACCTGGGGAACCTGTGGAAGAACCACAAGCCCTGGCCTGCGCTGGGCCGCGGCTTCAACACAGGTAAGGACCTTCTGTCCCCCCCTGTCCCCCGAGCCGAGACCCCAGGCGAACGACCGCTGTCCCCTTGCTCCCCCAAGGCGTCATCCTGCTCTACCTGGAGAGGCTGCGGCGGATCGGATGGGAGCAGATGTGGCGGCTGACGGCCGAGAGGGAGCTGATGAGCATGCTCAGTACGTCGCTGGCTGACCAGGTGAGCGGCCCAATCAAACGTCCCAGTGTCCCCCCCCCCGGGCCTTAAAGCCGGACCCCTCAGGGACTTAATTGGCGTCTTCGGTAAGTGGTGGAGCGGGAGAGTCAGTGGGGGCTTTGGTGTAAATGTGATCTGGAGAAGTTCTGTCACAGATCCGACGCTGAGGGTATTTATTCCATTCTTTCTGCTCCCTGATTGGACCGTCTTTCAGGCTCTGTCCTCACGCGTTGAGAGGATATTTCACATGACGGGCTGAACTCATTACGTCTCCTCGTCGGTTATCCCCTGTTTAACCTCACGTTGCAATGAATTGTGGGTAATCCCCACTGAAAGAGTTCCTGGAGGGTTCAAAATCTCTGAGAGACGCAAACCCTGATGTGACACAGCTAAAGTCCTTCACTTATCTGCAGTTTGGAAGAGGGAATTACCCACAATTCATAGCAGTATATGACACTAAACACAGGGTCGCCGGAGGAAGAGACGTAAAAAAGGTTAAAGGAGACGACAGGAAAAACAGTAGAGATTATATTCTATTATATAACACTAAAATATATCATTCATATATATATAATTTACATATTTTATCTGATAGAAATAAAATATAGTATATTTTATATACTGTATCTGATATATAAATAAAATATATGTATATAATATCTGCTATATGTAATATACAAGTTTTGTTGAAGGTGTTTTTGTATAAAACGTACATGAGGTCATCATGGATGTCACACGGCTGTCATTGGTATTTGCATCACTTCCAACATCTCTTGACCCCAATAAGTGTTTCAGGTGCTCAGCAGCATTTATACATATGAATCAATCGAGCCGGTGTGATTGTGTGCTGATGTTAAAGGTCGCCGCGTGTTTCTGCGTCTTTACGCGTCGACGCGCTGGTTTCACTTCCTGGTTGTAAAGTCCTGCGTGTGTTGCAGAGCGATTCACCTCCAGAACAACAGGTGGAGTCACGTGTTCTGTTGAAGACGACCTGGAGAGTCACGTCTGTGTGTGTGGAAGTCGCTGGTTGCTTGTTCCCCTCGTTGGTGGAGATCTCCCTCCATGAATCAGAGGCCATCCGGCGTCCTCATAGTCCGCCGATGACGGCTTGTACAAGCGCTCATATTTAAAAGCTCTTCAATCTGATCCGTTCTCTCGTAAACGTTCTTCCTTTTAATAACGGCCGTATTGTGCTGTGAAAACGGAGACGTGAGACTCCGTAAAGGACGTAGTTAGAGACCAATCACAGCCTGGTGCTGCAGGAGGCTGCAAAGCTTTACACGCAAGGAGGTGTGAAAAGACACGCGAGGGACTCATAAACTCGTCTTTAGTCCTGAAATACAACAACACAAAATGTGATAAACAATACGAATGATGTCGTCATGGATCCATTTCTACCCGTCTGATGAATCCTTAAGACTAGAGCTCTGACTTCTACAGCGACGAGTACGATGGATGTTTGTCGACCTCGGCCACATAAAAGATGAGGAGATAAAGATCTTTACGTTCTGCACAGTCACACTGTCTACCCGCTCCGGTTGCCTGGGGAACCGGAGAAGAGACCATGAGTCGGCTCTTTCCAATGATGGATGCGAAGTGCATGAGTCACGGCCAAGGCCCCCCCCCACCCCCCTCCCACCCCACCCCCCCCCAGCTGAGCTGCTATCAGAACCGGTCTGTGGTCTTTGTGCAGGACATCTTCAACGCCTTCATCAAGCAGAACCCCGTCCTGGTGCACCAGCTGCCCTGCTTCTGGAACGTCCAGCTGTCGGACCACACGCGCTCAGAGCAGTGCTACACCGAGGTGTCCGACCTCAAGGTACGCCACACCTTGTGTACTGATTCATTGTTTGGGTATGTATATATATATATATATATATATATAATGGACTAGTTCCGGCTTCATCCCCTCGGTTTTGCCTCCTTCACCCAGTAGAGAGTTCGAGAGGTTTTTCTTCAGCTAATCACAGCCAGAAGCTGAACTGTCACTAATAATTATCAGACGTTCATCGTTCCGACGGTCCGTGAACACATCGTGTGGGACGAACCCAACCAAGTCATGACGGAACCCAGAACAGAGAGGAGAGGCTGTAAAAGTAGAATGACATTTATGTAAATGACACTTTTACTCTTGATACTAAAAGTGTGAATTATTGCAGCCGTTGTTAATTTAGAAAGTGCTTTTTAAAATTGTACTCTAGTTAAAGCCACCTGGTTTATTTGTTAATGCGTCGATAATGAGGACGGATTACAAAGATAACAAAAGTGATATAATAAGATGTCGAGTTTTACACTGTGAACAGAAAGAACAATGTGAATCAGCAACACGTTTCCTCCGCTGACTCCATCCGGGAAACAGTGATCTGTGATCTCCTGTCCCGAGGAGCTCCAGGCACAAAGAAGGAAGTCTTAAAGAGTCTTAAACTCTCTGGACTGTGTGTCCCTTCAGTCCTCATTGCAAAACTATCGGTATGACCTGAAACGACCCACACGGAGGTTCTTATCGGTTTGGCTTCTCAAAGGTTCTTTTCTTTGTCAAAAATGTAGTTTATTGAGAACGGCCATGGTCCTCCTCTGGCTTCCATGTAAAAAATGATATTTCCATATGAATATTATCAAATGTGTGTGTGGGAACGTTTGTTAAAGCAGCCGTTTAACCACTTCCACGTCTTCTCTGCTGCCTACGATCTACGGAGGATTTCTGCCCCTTTAATTGAAGCTACTTCACATGGCAACAAGGTCACTGAAGTGAACTGGTTGGCGGTTTCAGGTGATCCACTGGAACTCCCCCAAGAAGCTCCGGGTGAAGAACAAGCACGTGGAGTTCTTCAGGAACCTCTACTTGACCTTCCTGGAGTACGACGGGAACCTGCTGAGACGAGAGCTGTTCGGCTGCCCCAGTCAGGCCAACCCGGAGAGCGTGCGGGTGAGAGACGGTCGTGGTCGCCACAGTTGGTGTTTACTTTCTGCTCTTCTTCTTCTTCTTCTTCTGAGAGAAACCATTAAATTGAGACACATGAGGTCTACACCTTGTAAAGATGCCCCCCCCGCGTCCGTCCCTTAGCTGCAGGCCGCCCTGGAGGAGCTGGACGAGGACGACCAGTGCTACGACTTCCGCCGGGAGCGTCTCACCGTCCACCGGGTGCACCTCTACTTCCTGCAGTACGAGTACACGGCCGCCGAGGACGGCACCGACGTCACGCTGGTGGCCCAGCTCTCTATGGACAGGTACCCATGAGCCTTCAGCCCGTCGCCATGGCTGTTGAACTCCAGGGAGCGTGTAAACCGGCTCAGTTCTTACTGCGGTTCATCTGATGGAGGTCTATTAAAAGGATCTTGTAGGGAGAGAGCTTTGGAATGTGGGAGGAGGAGTTTCAGAAGGACTATGTCGAGGGGCCATCGGCTCATTGGGTTCCTCGTTTCACGACTCTTTGAACTGTGCGCCTCTTCTTTCCAGAATCAAACATCTGGGTTTTTAAGATCTTTATTTGTACAATCTGTCCAGAACTCAAAGGTGAACTGAGATAGTGATGCCGCACTATCTCAGTAACATGCGCCTCCATCTTCTCCCCCCGCAGGCTGCAGATGCTGGAGGCCATCTGTAAGCACTGGGAGGGCCCCATCAGCCTGGCGCTCTACATGTCCGACGCCGAGGCGCAGCAGTTCCTCCGCTACGCCCAGGCCTCCGAGGTCCTCAAGAACCGCAAGAACGTGGGCTACCACGTGGTCTACAAGGAGGGCCAGTTCTACCCCGTCAACCTGGTGAGGAACGTGGCTCTGAAGAACGCCAACACGCCCTACGTCTTCCTGACCGACGTCGACTTTCTGCCCATGTACGGCCTCTACGATTACCTCAGGTACGACGTTGGTGTCTTACGTAGGCTGTGATGTCACACCGGTCTCTCCTCTGACTCACTTCTCTCTCCCCTGTGTCCCCCTGTTTCCCTGTAGGAGGACCGTGGTCCAGCTGGACATGACTCACACCAAGAAGGCTCTGGTGGTCCCGGCCTTCGAGACGCTTCGTTACCGTCTGTCCTTCCCCAAATCCAAAGCCGAACTGCTCTCCATGCTGGACATGGGGACTCTCTACACCTTCAGGTACCTGAGCCCGACGGATCAAGACAGGGGGGCAATGTCCTCATTTAATCTTGTCCACCTCTCTCCAGGTATCACGTGTGGCCTAAAGGTCACGCCCCTACCGACTATGCCAAATGGAGAACGGCCACCACGCCCTACCGGGTGGAGTGGGAGGCCGACTTCGAGCCCTACGTGGTGGTGAGGCGGGACTGTCCCGAGTATGACCAGCGCTTCGTGGGCTTCGGCTGGAACAAGGTGTCTCACGTCCTGGAGCTGGATGCACAGGTGAGTCTGGTGGGCGGGGCTTCACTTTGACAGTCCAGCTGGTTTCTTTCATTAAGAGTAATTAACGATCTATACGATGGATCTTCTGTTTGTTGCTCGATTACAATTCATTTAGCTTCGGTAACCTTTTGGCCATGTGGCCGTCGATATCGGCCTGTGAGTCTCTGTTACCCAACGAGGACGTCCCGTCCCTCAAACCACCCCGCCTTTCTGCCCCCTTCAGGAGTTTGAGCTCACGGTTCTCCCCAACGCCTTCATGGTCCACATGCCCCACGCTCCCAGTTTCGACATCTCCAAGTTCCGCTCCAGCTTCGGCTACCGCAACTGCCTGAACACCCTGAAGGACGAGTTCCACCAGGACCTGTCCAGGAAGTACGGCTCGGCCGCCCTCAAGTATCTGACCGCTCAGAGGACCGCGTGAGGACCCGGGGCGCCGCCCAGCAGCTCCGGGTACGAAGAGGGGCGGGGCCGGTGAACCTTCACGGACCCTTTTTTTTAAAAATTGCACCTGTGGATTAATTCTCCCGTCTGCTGAGAAGACGAGATGAGGGGACTGCAGAGGCGGGACAAGAGGGGCGGGATTACGTGACCAGCTTTAACGGCCGGGCGAAGCAAACCACCATATTCTTACAAGCTTGTTCTGACAATCAGGGCTTTTTCTTCCAGGGGGACGGGGGGCCGAGCAAAGGGGGGGGTGTGTGTGCGTGTGTGCGTGTGCGTGTGTGTATGCGTGTGCGTGTGTCAGGGCCTGTCAAAGATTTCAGCCTTATCCATGATATTTACTGAGATATTTAATGTCTCATTCATGTGTTGGATCTGAACCAATGGATGAGGAGCGTTGGCATCTACAATGTTTGGATTATGACGTCATTATTATTTAGCTTATTTTTATTATTTTATTTTCTAATCTCTATTGGAGGAAGAAGAATTCATCTCGTCTAATTGTTTCTGGTGCGTGTGTGTGTGTGTGTGTGTGTGTGTGTGTTGTTCATAATATTTTCTTGCGTCTGAATAGTTGCACAACAAGTCAATCATATCAATATGCGATGTATTGATCACTGATTACAAACACGTCTCATTCACTGGATAAATGTGCCAACTACTGAGAAAACAGACCCCATTTATATCGATTACAGACTAATTCGAGGCTTCCTCACTCGGTAAATGAGTTTATTTGGGATCTACGTGAAGTGAATGTTGAGTCTACTTCACGAGGTGAGGATTGTTTTACCAAAGACGGCTGTAGTAACTATTTCACGTGTAAGCGACTAACTTTTGATTTGGAAGCTAATCTATATATCTATTTAATCTATAAAACTAGTTCACAAACTGAACCCTTACACATTAATACAGATTTTCTTCAGTTTGACTTGATCCTCCTCTTGTCATTGATTATATATTGACTCTATAAGAGTCACTTTCTGATATTTTGTGACCAAAATCATTGCAGATGTTTCAGATTCGGCGGGAATCCGACGTCCCCAGAGGACGACCACGGTGTCGGTGTCCCGTCCGTTCTTTTCTTTCAGATCTTTATCTCTTCCATTAATGTCGGGATCTTTTGCGTCTCTGCTCTCCGTTCTGTTCTAACTAGTGTTGTTTCCACGGAGCCTGGCGGTGTTTGTGGGGGGGTCGAGCATATGGTTTCTAATGAGGCGTGAGTGTGACCCCCCCATCGACTTGTTGTGGTAAATGCTAGTGCCTTTGCTGTATTGTGGAACTGGATATTGATTGTACTGTTGTACCGGCAGGACCTGCGATAGTCAGGTACTCTATTTATTATTGTGGATTCAAATCAATCATATTTTTCTATGTAAGTGCTTTAAATAAATTTGCCCTTTTTCTAATCACTTTGCTGTATTTTTGTTATTACAGATTAATGAAACTATGATTTATTGTTGTTTCACTCATACACCTACGGGGCAAATGAGGAATATCTTCCAATAGCCAGTATGTGTCACGTATGTACCTCTGGTCTTGACCCCGCGGGGATCACGGCCGGCAGGAAGTGAGAGAAGAAGAATGCTGGAGGACCTCCATCACGGCACCAGAGATACGCCCACTTCTCCCCTTCGGGCCCCCGGCAGCATCTTATGACACCTGAGCGGTCCTCCTCTCTGCAGGCCGGCGAGTGGCGGGTTCCCAGAATGCACCGCTCAGATGTGAAGTTATTTAGCATAGCTTCACTGCTCATTCATTGTTTTAATGTCCCTTGAACGGAAGATGGTTTTCATGTCCACGACGTCTTCATCCTGATTCAGCGCGCGTTCCCGGCGTGGACTCCGAAGCAGGAAGTGACCGAGACGTTACCACGACAACGCCGTAGTTGTCTTGTGGCAAAGTAAGTCATGCCTTTAATATACTGTATATGATGAAAGTAAAAGGTTATAACAAGTTATGCCATTAAATCATTTTTCATTGATAAAGTCCAGTTTTTAGTGTCACGTTCATACGTGCTGGCGTGAGCGTGTCGACGCGCTGGTTTCACTTCCTGGTTGTAAAGTCCTGCGTGTGTTGCAGAGCGATTCACCTCCAGAACAACAGGTGGAGTCACGTGTTTTGTTGAAGACGACCTGGAGAGTCACGTCTTTGTGTGTGGAAGTCGCTGGTTGCTTTATTTATTGATCATAGACTTTATTGCCCCGTGCATCCACACTGCTGCTTTTCATCAAGGACACATTTGTCCCGTATTTTCCTCCACGACTTTGTCCCCCTCGTTTGTGGAGATCTCCCTCCATGAATCAGAGGCCGTCCGGCGTCCTCATAGTCCGCCAATGACGGCTTGTACAAGCGCTCATATTTAAAAGCTCTTCAATCTGATCCGTTCTCTCGTAAACGTTCTTCCTTTTAATAACGGCCGTATTGTGCTGTGAAAACGGAGACGTGAGACTCCGTAAAGGACGTAGTCAGAGACCAATCACAGCCTGCTGCTGCAGGACGCTGCAAAGCTTTACACGCAAGGAGGTGTGAAAAGACACGCGGGGGACACGCGAGGGACACGCGAGGGACTCTTGCGTCTGCGTTTCCTTGCGTCTCTGAAAACGCAGAAGCGTTGAGGCTTCATGTGTGTTGAGATTGCGTCAACGGTTATAACTTTATAACGACAATGAATAACACTCAACAAACAGGGTGAAGCACAGCGACACAACAGCTTATGACACATAAACAATTTCGTAACACTATAATTGTTAATCATTTATAACGACTGCACGCTGACAACAAGAAGTAACGTTAACTTCTGAAAACAGGGAAAAGAGACGCGGCAACACAACTTGTGCCCGAGAGGAGTCCGTTTGGAGGGTTTTGTTTTTTTAGTCTGTCGAGCCGCTGGTGGCGACACAACAAGCTAACAAGCTAACAAGCTAACACGCTCTTAATATCTTAATACCGTGATGTGTTTTTTGGCCGTACTGTGCGCCTGGTGTCATCTAGATGTTATTTTAAAAGTTAAAAGTTTAAAAGTCAAATGTCTTTCTTTGACGGTCCCTCATTTCACTCACTCACCCACGCATCCAATTTCATTTTCCGCGCCCCGTCAAAATGTCACGCCAAGGTTTCTGAAAAGTTGAGCGCTCTGTTTTCCTGATGATGTCATCGATGATCTCCTATGCAGCCCGTTCTTAGTGTGTCGGGGGGGCGTGCAGAGACACACCACCTTCACTCGCATTCACACACCTACGAGCAGGTGCAGAGTCACCTGGTGACCAGGAAGTAGAATGTAGCACAAAAAGGTCCTGAAAGGACCACCTCTAAACGAGGACACACAACTCCTCAGAGATTAGATGTTTCCTCCTCTGACCGTCATCACGTCAATGTCTTTTTACTATTGTGTTGTTTGAATAATGAGTGTCTTCACCGGCTTGATGTCACCTAATGAAAACATGTACATATATATATATATATATATTATACACACACAATCCAGAACGGAAGGTTGTTCTCTTCACTGTATCACGTCTGGGTGATGGTGTCCATACTCCTGTCAGTGAACAATGGTCCCGAGACTTCACAGGAGGGACAGAGGAGCAACTTAAATGTTGGCGACGTTCATGTAGATGTAAAATTAATAATCGCAGCAGCAAAAGTTATTGCACGTGATTTCAGAGCGAGTGCGATAAGTCATTTTATCGCATGTTGGGACAGACTACTTGAATCTCTTTAAAACTTCAAACTACGTTGCTGTAAATCCTAAATGTCCACAGTGTGGGACTAATGAAGGGTTATATCTTATCTCTGGGACAAAGTGTCCTTCCTTAGCTTTATTAATTGTATTTCCACAAACTAACGCTGGATGTTAGAGCAACAAAGATGGAGCCCAACACAGCAAATCACACCGGATACAAGAACACAGAAACCCTGAAACCTTCAGACTGCGTTATTGTCCAATCAGCAGCATCACAGATGTGTCAGTCAGGAACGTCTTCAGGCCTTTGGCTTCTTTACCTCAACCCACAACCATAGTGATGTGTCACTGCATATATATATATATATGTGTGTATATGTATATATGTATGTATGTACAGTGTATAACACAAACGGCACATTTGTCCCCAACCTCATCATCGCTTGTTTCTTCCTCTGGTGGGCGGAGTCCTAACGAGCCAATCAGGAGGCGGCGGAGGGGAGCGCTTAACGAGGGCGCCATGGTGAACACACATATCCACGGCGGGTTTGTTAGAGAGACGCACTGCAGCGTTTGGTAAATGGAGCTCGACTGGTGCAGCGTGGGGGTGGGTGTGGGTGTGTGTGTGTGTGTGTGTGTGTGTGTGCGTGTGTGTGTGTGCGCGTGTGCGCGTGCGTGCGTGCGTGAGACGTGGCCCCAGGTCTCCAATTACAGACCAAATTTGTCATCTGGAACAGAGACCAAAACACCTGCTCACAACATCTGCTGAGGTGCCTGCAGGAAGCTTGTGTGTGTGTGTGTGTGTGTGTGTGTGTGCGTGTTTGTATGTGTCTTTTTTACAAAATCTTTTTTTTTATTTAAGCGCCGCTGCATTATTTAATATCGTCAAACCTGATATCAACATTTCATTTTTAAATATCACTGCCGTCCCCTTATTTTTACCATCACTGTTTGCTCAAAGCGAAACCTTTATTCTTATTTTCAGTGTCTTTGGCTGAGTGCAAAAGGAGCAGGAAGAGCAACCAAACGGCTTCATTTTAAACATGATTTGCTCAAAGCAGCAGCACAGCGCTAACTCTTGTTAATTTGAGCCCCAGCTACAACTCTGAGTGCCATAAATCACATTTACATAATAGCAATTTGCAGAAGCAAATATGTTCAGCGGGAAACATAATGGCACCTAAATGAATCCCAGCATAACGAGCTGCTGTTAATTAACACATCTTCAAAGCGTTCATTACCAACACAACGTGGTCATGATTGGTCAACACTGGTGACCCGTGAAACACAATCTTTAACCCCAAATAATGACAATAGCCCAACACAGTAACGATGTGACAGTCAGGAAGGTCTTCAGGCCTAATAACATAATCTCGCTTTAGATGAAGAAATTAGTCGAGTTTCTATAAAACAGTTGATTCTCCACAGTGAGAAAATCCACCACAAAACAAACCCTTCCTACAAGTATTTAATGACCACAACCAGCATTAATACATTATAGATGGATGGATGGCTTGGTAGATGGATGAAAGGATGAATAGATGAATCAATATATGGTTGGATAAATGGATAGCTGGATGGATGTAGAATGATGGATGGATGGACTGATCAATGGATCGATGTAGGATTGATAGATGGATGGTAAATAAATAGATGGATGGATGGATGTAGAATCATGGATGGATGGATTGGTAGATGGATGGGTAAATAAATAGATGGATGGATGGATGTAGAATCATGGATGGATGGATTGGTAGATGGATGGGTAAATAAATAGATGGCTGGATGGATGTAGAATCATGGATGGATGGATTGGTAGATGGATGGGTAAATAAATAGATGGATGGATGGATGTAGAATGATGGATGGATGGATTGGTAGATGGATGGGTAAATAAATAGATGGATGGATGTAGAATGGTGGATGGATGGATTGGTAGATGGATGGGTAAATAAATAGATGAATAGATGGATGGATGGATGTAGAATCATGGATGGATGGGTTGGTAGATGGATGGGTAAATAAATAGATGGATGGATAGATGGATGGAAGGATGGATAGATGAATCAATATGGTTGGATGAATGGATAGCTGGATGGATGTAGAATGATGGATGGATGGATGGATGGATTGGTAGATGGATGGGTAAATAAATAGATGGATGGATGTAGAATGATGGATGGATGGGTTGGTAGATGGATGGGTAAATAAATAGATGGATGGATGGATGCAGAATGATGGATGGATGGATTGGTAGATGGATGGGTAAATAAATAGATGGATGGCAATGTAAATAAGTGAACTAAAAAAAAAGAAAAACAAATGGAAGAAAAAAAAGGAAGAATCTAACAAATCCACTAGTTAGCATTAGTATTTTTTCTAATTTATTGAACCTTTAATGGAGACCAGAACAGATGCTACACCCCTAATGAACTAAACAGCAGCTGGAACACACATCTCTGGCTGCTTAGAATAAATAAAGGGGAATAAAAATGGCTCCTGGAACTCTACTCTGCCCGGCGGCCTCCGCGATGACCCAACCACATTTGTCGGTCTTATCCCCGTTTCCAGGCCAACGCCACGGGAGCCATCCGGCGCCACAGGCCGTGGTGTTTGAAATTGATGAACTAATTTACATTCATGCAGGCTACTTATTTGAAAGGTGGTATTGTGAAGAAGTCCCTCCAGCAGAAGGAATAAATCACAGCACCATTTCTCTTCATAAGC